AGGAGCGAGCAGTGCCACTGCATTCAGCTGACTCTGCCTACGAGCCATCATCACTCCTGGCTCCATGGCAGCAGGGTTCAGACCCAGCTTTGCTCTGCAGGGTGTCCCCATGCTGGGAGGTAGCTGGGCTGCAGGATTGCTGGCGCTCAGCCATCCATTGTCAGGAGGCTTTGCCTTCATCTCTAACTCGCAGAAAGCCCAGATTTGAAGATGCCTCCCTGAGGTATGAGGGCCTGGTCCTGCTAATTCTGCAGTAAACAAGGCAGAAGGTCTCTGGAGCCAGGGGGATTTTACTGGCATGCAGGGACATGGCTGGGAGGAGACTTGGTGACAAGAAGGCTCAGTGCTGGGTCCCAGCTGGCACTGCAGAGCCTGCAGGGGGTGAGGAGGCAGAGTTCAGCACAGGGACATCCGATCCAACTGCTTCTGGCCAGTCCTCTGCACTTGGGGTCCCCGTGAACTTCCTTCCCAAAGGGCAGCTGAAGCTGAGGCGGGGAGATAAGTTTCTGGCTCCTTGGATCAGCATTGTTAGCCACACTATCTGCTCATCTCTTGGAGCTGGGGGACATCCTGCGCTCAGGAATCGGCTGCTACGTGTCCACCAGCTCCGAGTCTGAGCTGAGGTCCCTGGGGCTGTCGCAGGACGTGTTGGTTCTGGTTGCGACCCTGCTGATAGGGGTGTGTTTGGGAGGAAGAGAAACTGAAATCATGGGGAAGGTTTAAGCAGCTCTGGGTTGCAGTGCCACAGCCCATTAATTTGACAGAGCTTTCTACAAGCATGCCAGAGAAATCACTGCCTGGAGATGCACGTTTAGGGGTTTCCATGAGATGCTGGTACCATGAGGGAGAATGGGTGGAGCAGAAGATACCCCACACAGAGCTGGGAGACAACCCAGCTGCAGTGGCAGCTCTGCTCCTGCCATGCTTTCCTGGCTCAGTCCTGCATGTCCCTGCTCCCCAGTCTGGATGGTTTTCTGAGCCCTCCCCACCTTTTGGGGAATTTGGCTGAGCCTACAGGGCCAGGGAAAAGGCTCTGTCATCCAGCCCTGTTTCCCACCATGGCTTCCCCAGAAGCCCACACTGCCCAGGAATACTCTGCCTCCCTGGTGTGGAGCACACCAAGAAGTCCCTCTGAGCCAAAGTTATCTTTCCCTGTTTTAGAGAAGGACAAGTGACCTCAGACTGCTGCCAATGCCCTGCTTATCCCTGGGCAGAGTCAGGTCCCTGAGTCACTCCCAGGTCAGAAGCAGTGCTCGAGTGCATCACTAAAGCCAGTGCTGAAATGGAAAGCCACAGGGATGAATTAACACTGTGAGTGGAGTCACCATCATAGTGTAATATCAGTGAAAGCAGGGTAGGGGGGATTAGTAAAATGTGGGGTGTTGGATGCAATTTTCCTACTGAAGTAACCAAAGGGGGGAAAGCCAACATAACTCGGATACAGTGACTACAGCAGCTGGTCAGGTTGACCTGGCTCATCTCTGGATCCTGGTTTCCAGTGCCTGACTGCAGCTGATCACTGCTGTGGCCAGTGTGGGTCCGAGAGGGGGTCATGGGCTAATATTGCAGGGCAGAGGGAATGGGCACAGCTTGATCCACAGGGGATGTAGCCACCCAGCTCCACTGCCCATGCTGAGCTCAGAACAGCCTGTTCACATCCACGTGTGTCCCAGCCAGCTGTGCCTCCAGACAACACCATCCTGAGGCCTGAGCAGTGCAACTGCCACTTTTCCTTCCCACTCCAAAGTAGGTGGGCAAAACCACCACGCCTTCCTCCCTCCTCTCACCGTGCACAAACACCGTTCTTTGCCCAAACACCACAAATTATTGTCAGCTCCTTCAGGAAAAATGTCAGCCCCAGCAATGCAACGTACACAGAGATGTAAATAATTAAAGCTAGGTTTTACCACAGGAAGTCACAGTCAAAAGCCTTTGCTACCCTGAGAAGTGAACAGCCAACCTTCCTCTGCAGTCCCCAGGCAGGGAGGCACAGGTCCGCATCTCCCCTCACATTTCCCCAAAGCCCCCAGGATGCAGAGCAGAAGAGAAAGCACAGGCTGGAAAACCAGCTCTTGGTTCCTAACACAGCCTTTAAAGGGTCCCAGGCAAACGGCATCATCATAAAGCAGTGCAGAACAGCAGCGCAGAGCGGGTATTACCTCTCCCTCTCTTTCTCAGTTCCACCAGTCCCCCCCTCAGGGGTTGCACAGGTTGTGACTCCCCATCACACCACCCCTTCCCAGCTGTACCAGCAGCTCAGTGCACCCACCTTGCCAGGTTTCCCTCCTGTACCTGCCTGGACCCAAGCTCGCAGTGCAGTCCAAGCCAGGGTGGGAGAACACCCAGAGCAGAGTTCTAGAGCTGCAAGAGAAAGAGCTTTACCCTGCAGGCGCTTGCAGCACGGACAGCAGGTTGCTGTGTGTGTAGTCCCAGGCGGTTTCCACTGCAGCGATGTAGTATCTTCTGACTTTGCTGGTGCCTTCCTGAACCAGGCAGAGGAGCAGGAGGCTGCACAGGGCTCCCTCCAGCATCATGCCTCCTGGCTGGGGACTGCTCTGACTTCAGGAGGAAAAGCAAAAAGGAAGGAATGAGAAAGGAAAGAAGAAAGGAAAGAGGAAAGGAAAGAGGAAAGGAAAGCCTTTATCTTCTCATCCAGCTGTTGTAATCCATAGGAGATGATGCTTTAAAGCCAGTACCCATAGACTCACTCAGAGCACTGGAGAGTTTCTCGGAGACGTCAGGAAAGGAACCGCTTGAGCAGGTTACTGCAAAGAGCAGTGTGTGTGAGTGATGGACTCTCCCACTCTTCCTCTGGCTGTGACAGGAGGAGAGGAAAAAACAAAAGGAAAGGGAGGGCAAGCACAGCGGTAAGTTCCGCTGCAGGACCCAGCTGGCTCCGTGTCCTGGCCTGTGTCTGGGAGCAAGACGAGGAAAGGGAGGGTTGCAGAGGAAGCAGAATTTAGGTGTGGTCTCTGCCTGGTCTCACCTTCTCTGTCACCACTGAGAAGGAGAGCGGGTTGCCAGGGATGCACATACGCACGTACGTACGTGAGGTTATCCCTGTCCCCGGGATCCCTGCACCCCGGGCTGGGATGATTGAGCCACACAACCTCACTTCAAGCCACGTGGGTTGGGATGATCCCTGGGAATCCCCTTCCCACCACCTTCACCTCACATTTCTCCTCCTCTCCCAGGGTCCTGCAGTACAGCTCAGAGAAGAGGCACTGAAATGTTTTTTGCAAATTTCTTTCATTTTACTCACAAATTTTCAATATCTCTTTTTAAAAGCCCATGAAATCCCCTTCCCCCTTCGATGCACACACGTGTGCTCAGGCACACACACACTGGCACGTGGTTGTCCCTTGGCTCCTGCAGGCAGGAAGGTGAGGAGGAACGCCCCGGAGGGTCCCAGCATCCACTGGGAGAGCAAGGCGTGGAAATGTCCCATAAATCAAGCTGGGGGAGAGCAGGAGCGCACCAGGGGTGGTGACCCCGTTGGTGACAGTCCCAGTGTGTGCAGAAGCATCCATGTGACAGGTCTTGGTGACTGGGAAACAGAGGGAGGCAGTGGAGATGGTGCAGAGATGGGAGTTTCAGGGTCTCACATGAATCCTTAGCACAGGGCAGGTGGGACTGGTAGGGGATGGGACAGGAGACAGAAGCTGAGCCCCTCAGGTAGGGGCAATCCCAGCAGAGGCAGGAACACGTTCCCTGATGTCCCACTGCCCCATGTAGCCTGGGAACACGTTAAACCCCAACCTTCCAAGAGGCTGCCCCCGCTCCTTGTGCTCAACCAGGGGCTGGCAGAGAGCACCAGGACTCGGGGCAGAAAGTGCTTCCCCCCCATCATCCACCCTTCTCTTGAGGAGGCAAAAAGCCAGCAAGAAACACATTTCCTCCAGTTCGAGCACACAGTGGTTGGCTCCATGCCCAGCCTGGGGATCCTTTTCTTTGTCATCAACGATCCACCCTGCTTTTTTCAGCCAGCATTTTGGGAGAAAACAAGTGGTGTGTCACACCCGGGGATGCCCCAGGGTGCTTGGCATCACCTGCCCTGCTGCAGTGAACTAGAAGGGTAGTGAGTATTGGAGGTTAGAGAATTGTGTGGAAAAGTGTCCCATGGAGGCTGCAGTGGCAGGGACACCATCAGGAATTAATGGCTGTGACACTGGCAAGTGCTGAATTGCTGGGCTTCTCTCTTCCTGAGATGCTCATCCCTCTCCAGGTTTACCCTGCCTGGCCCTTGGCATCTCAGAGAGCTTAGTCCCAAGGCTCAAACCTGCCGTGGGCAGCAGCCCCCACCACCCCACGGGCTGCGTGTGTGCAGGACATCACGCCTGCGTGTCCAGGGACGTGCTGCCCCTCCGCTGGGGTCTGAGTGTGCACACACCGCTCCAGCCTAATCAGGACAGCGCAGGAAACACGTGCAGTATTGCTGCGATTCCCGACACGTCCACACCTGCCTGTAAGTGGGATGTTTGCTGGTGGGACGTTTGCTGGTGCAGCTGAGTGCTGCTCTTAGTTCCTAGAACAGCGTTGTTGGTTCCTAGAACAGTGTCTGCCCCCCCACCCGTCCCACTCACGCACGAGTTTCCGTTAACCTCAGACAGGAGTGGGGTTACACTCTCTCCACGAGGATTTTTTTATTTCTTTTTTTTTTTTTTTATTATTATTTTTTTGCCTGCCGTGTCTCAGGTTTTCCGTCTCTCCCACTCCCTGGGCAGCTGCGTCCCCAGCTGGGAGACAGGCGGCTTTCGTTCCACAAGAGCTCAAGTCGGGGGGTAACGGGCTCAGAAATCGGTGTTGGAATCAAGGGTTGGACTTGACGATCTCGGAGGTCTTTTCCAACCCGGCTGATTCTACGATTCTGTGATTTCACCAACTAGAAACTCTTAATATTTTTTTTATCTTTATTATTATTTTTACTGTCCAAGGGGCCGAGCGGCGCCCGTCCCCCCCCCCTCCCCTCAGGCGCGCTCCCGGCGCCGCGCGCTCCCCGGCCGTGGCCGCGCCTGCGCGGAGCGCGGCGGCGTCATGGCGGTGCCTGGCAGAGGTGGGACGGGCTGGGATGGCCGGGAACGGAGTGACCGGGAATAGAATGGAATGGGATAGCCGGGCATGGCGTGGGGCGGCGGGTCCCCGGGCTCTCCAGGGACGGGGGCACGGGCCGGGGAACCCCTGTGGAACTCGCGGCGGTGCCGGTGCCGGGCCTGGCCTCGCCTGAGGGCACGGGGGGGCTCCCGGCACAGCGGCCCCAGCACCGGCAGCGCCCTCAGGGAGTGAGGGAGCACGGGGACGGGGTCTGAGGGGCCCTGGGGGGAGCCCCCGCAGCCCGGGGCTTTGCTGGGCGGGGGTCCCGTGCCCTGGGGGTCCCGTGCCCTGTGTGCCCTGTGCAGGGGGCGGCGGTGCCGGCACTGAGCCTCTGCAGCTGCCCGCAGGTGCCAAGGACGACACGTTCAACGTGCTGGACCTGGCGGAGTACACCAAGAACCGGCCCTGGTGGCGCAAGATCTTCGGCCCCAGCTCGGGGTCGAGCGCTGAGAAATACAATGTGGCCACGCAGCTGCTGATCGGAGGGGTCACGGGATGGTAAGATGGGCTGGGGTTGCCCTTGCTGCTCCGGGCAGGCTCTGGGGAAGGCGCTGACAGCTGCAGGGGGGCCATCTGGCAGTCGTTCAGAGGAGGCAGGTGTCCAGCGTGCTCAGCCTGCTGTCCCCTGGCATGGTCTGCTGAGCTGGGGGACGTCTTAAAAGCAATCTCTAACTTGGGGCTGAAGAACTGAGACTGTCCCCTAAGGAAGGAAATTGCGCCAAGTCTTTAATTTTTTTTTCTAACTTCTGGCACAGAGTGGTGGTGTTGAATTTGGGACAGGCAGATGTGAACCCCCTGGAACAAGGATGCCTTTTTCTTTGAGGTGCTTCAGGCATCTGCATTAGAACCTCCCTGAGGTCGTGGTTCCCAGGGTTTCGTGTCACTTGTAGCTGGGGCTGATGGAGTGTGGCTCTATTTGCATTTTCATTCCCACAGCATTGTTTGAGTTGAAAACTTTGTCTGCTCGCACTGCTTTGCTTGTTGCCATGGCCCCGTCTCCCTGGCACCAGGGTAACTGTTTAACAGAGCTTCATTTTCTGATGGAAGTGGGAGCTGCCACCTCTCCCTTGTACCTTCCCTGAGTGTATCCCAAGATGGGTAAAGGCAGGTGCCTGTGGTGTTTGCAGTGCTGATAAGGGAACCGTGTTCCAAGTGAAGTCTGGTTTGGGTGATACAACACCCCAGCCCTTTGCTGCATGACTGAGCAATGGGGTGGTGCTGGCTCGAGTTCTGGTGGCTGCAGTAATGTCTGTCATATTGGGAGCATGTAACCCATTTTGGAGACCAGGATGGCTTCAGACCACTGCTGTCTGCTTGTTCCAGCATTCTGCTCTTCTAAGAAAGGAAAAGGAAAAGCAAGCAGTTGTTTGGGCACCAAAGAAGCTTTTCTTGTGATCTGCTCTCCGTGCTCTGTCACGGAGCAGTACGTGTGCTGCTTATTTTCCCTTCAAAGATGATACCAATTAAAAAAAAAAAGTCCAAAACAAAACCAGAAATCACTCGCTGATTTTGGTGAAATCACGTGTTTCTGATTAGAAACATGTCTCTCTTCTAGGAGAAGGGTGGTGTTGAGGAGATAAAAATCAAACTGCAAAAGGCTGAACTGTGACAGCAGGAAGTGAAAAGCTATAAAGCATCAGGTTTTTGGCTGGGTGCAAATCCTTCTCTCTGATTGCTTGTGGGTTTCTGCTGCTGTTCATCTGTCTCCAAGTCTTGGGTAACTCCTGCCAAAGGCGGCCTTGCCTGTGGGAAGCATGAGGAGAAGTGTGTGTTTGGTGTGTCATTCTCCTGACTGGATCCTGGTTGATCTGCAGGTGCACTGGATTCGTCTTCCAGAAGGTCGGAAAGCTGGCAGCGACAGCGGTGGGAGGTGGTTTTTTCCTGCTTCAGGTGTGTATGAACAGCAGCCCAGGCTTTCCAGGATCTGTGCTGGTGGGGATGAGGGGCTGTGTAGGAATCAGTGCCTGTTGGGACACATGGGGCCACTCTGCCAGGAGCTCTGTGTGGCTGTGGATGTCACAGGCGTGTTCCCCAGACCACATGGGTGCAGCAGCAAAGCGGGATCGGTTTGCATAAATTTCAGGATTGCTAAAAGGTGCAGATCTACTGAGGGTCTGCCAGCAAAGGGCAGGCCAGGGGCATGGGGGGACACCTGAGTGGAGCATGAGACAGCCCTGAGCTGCAGGGAACTGTCTGCTGCAGCACTGTCTGCTCAGAACTGGCTAATGCAGAGCCCTGTGCCTGTGGACGTGGTGTCCCTGCAGGAACAGCCCTGCATGTCAAGGATTTATCCATATCTGTGACATGCTTCCTGTCACCCTGGCTGCTTCAGGAATCTGGCCAGCACAGATGGGGCTCCCTGTAAAGCACTGGGGAAGAGGAGAGAAAACACAGATCTCTCTCTGTCCTCAGCCACTTCTCCTGATTTCTAATAACCCTGGCACTGAGGGAAGCTGCTTGGGTGTGGGCATCCAGCTCATACATCTTGCAGGAGGCAGAGCAGCTCTTAGGCCCTGTTCAGCACTTACCTGTTTGCTCCTCAGGCAAACAGATAAGTCCTGTGTGTGGCTCCCTCGCTCTCCTGGCTCTGCTTGATCTGCTGAAAGGGAAAAGCTTGCTCTGAGCAGGGGGACTTTCACTGCTGAATCACCCTGGGCAGATAAAATAGTTCGAGAGGAACAAGCTATTAATAGCTGTGTCCACCCACAGCAGCAGGAGAACTGCAGAGTCCCACCGATATCCGTGGCAGCTGTGAGGGGGAGGTGATGCCAGCTTTGTGTTAGAGAGCAGAGGCTGAAGCAGGCTAAGCTGCAGCCCTGCTTTTGGGGACTCCTGTGAGAGACAGATGTTGCAGGACAGTTAACACAGCTCCAGGGGTGGTCATCTGTCCAGTTTTTAAGCTAGTGTGCCCACTGGACTAGTGTGTGGGGGCTCAGGGAAGGGGAGTGGGTGAGGGGGTCTGTTTAGCCATGGTCGTGCAGGAACTTTCTTTCCAATCCTCAAAACCCCAGATTGCAAACCACACGGGATACATCAAAGTGGACTGGAATCTGGTACAACGGGACATGAACAAAGCCAAGGAGCAGCTGAAATTTCACAGCAGTGGGAATAAAATGCCTCCAGAAGTGAAAAGCAGAGTGGATGAGGTGAGACAACTCTCCCAAGGCTTGTGCTGGAAAACAGGATTGACTCCTGAGCTGTTATGGATCTGAGGAGCTGGAAAGTGCCCCTGGGGAAAGGAGCTGGGGGTGCTGGGGAACAGCCCCTGAACAGGAGCCAGTGTGTGCCCAGGGGGGCAAGGAGGCCAAGGGCACCTGGGCTGTGCCAGCAACAGAGTGGCAGCAGGACAGGACAGTGACTGTCCCCTCTGCTGGGCACTGGGGAGAGGGGAGGGGAGGTCATTAGGTTGGATACTTCCCCAAACCCAAGCAGTGGCATCTCTGAGCATCACTGGCCTTGAAGAACAGTCTGAGGGATTTCTTCTTGTGGGGAGGGTAGGTGGGTGGCCTGCTGTTGTTGGACACTGTTGCCTCTTCCCTCCCTTGCTTAGGTGATCATATTTCTGAAGAAGAATGTTATCCTGACTGGAGGGTTTGCCGGAGGATTCTTGATCGGAATGGCATCCTAGAAGCTGCACTTGACTCTCCTTTCGTGCCCAACCTCCCCTCCCCTCCTGTACTGCCGTTATGTCTCACTTAGAAGTCAAAGGATGTTGCCAACAGACTCAGTCCCTTCTGCTCACAGGTTCCAGCCCTCATTTCTTACAACGCTGCTTGTGATTTCCACACTTTTCATCATCTGGGCTGTCAGTGTGCTGGGATCAGTCTGAAAGCTTATCCCAGTGTGTCATTTATGATTCCTTCCCCCACCAAATATGCCCAGTCCCAAATTTTTCTGATGAGTTGCAGTCTCATAGACATGTAGTGGCAGAGAAATCTTTTAAATGTGCTTTCCACAGGCGCTCAGGACTCTTTACACGTACATTTGTCTGCCAGTATGTGTGTGTACAACAGCTGTCAGCTGTTCACCGTTGATCTTTCAGTATTCCTGCCCTGGTACCTGGCAAACCTGTGCTTCCCTCTGCACACAGGTGGTCTGTGCGATCCAGAATGTGGTTGGCTGTCCCAGGGTGGATGCAGAAGCGTCAGGGCACAGCCTGAGCTGTGTCCAGGGCAGGTGATTAAGGATTCTCCTGCCCTCCCCCTGCCATTGCACCGCACAGATGGCTGTTCTGCTTCCTCTCTGCTGTTAGATTTCCCCGTACTGGAATCGCAGCACTGCACTGCTGATGAAAACTGAGTCTCCAGGCCCTTTCCTCATCATGCATTGTGAAAGCCACCGAGCTCCCCGTGCTGCAGAGCAGCTCCTCATTTGCCACCTGACTGCTCAGCCTTTGAGGGTCTCTCCTCCCAGCAGGCCCAACCTGTCTGTGTCAGACTGGCTGGTATTTCAGCCGTGCCACTTACTGTAAATCACCCTGGGCCTCTGACTGGTGTTTCTGTGTCTGCCATGACCTTCACTGGTCACTTTGGCATTGGTGATGCTCTTCAGGGTGTAACCATGTGGGGCAGGATGGTAGACAGGAAATGCATCCCTGCTTGGGGTACGTTGGACCGGGCCAGGGTTGCCGGCTCCACTGGAGCAGGGGGATGATGTGGAATCTGGAGTGCAGTCCTTTACCTGTCTCTGCAGAGCACAAACTCCATCTCCCTGGCCTCTGCAAGCAACTGAAGTGACAAAACTGTTGGGAAAACCAGGTTGTAGTCTTATGGGAGTGGCTCATTTGCATCCTTTCTGCCTTGGTTATGTTCCTTTCTTCTTTGTGTTTGCCATTTCCACCAGAAAAGTTGCTTAATTCCATCAGCTGCAGCCCTTCTCCTGCAGGTGATGAGGCAGCCAGGTGCAGAACTCAGCTGTTTTTGGCAGAGCAGAACTCTACCAGAATTTCTACAGGAGAAAATTACAAACACAAATCCCTCCGAGGTTTTCCGCAGGCGTGGATATTTGCAGGCCAGCACGGTGATGTCCTCCAGCAGGTACACGTGGGAGTTCTGGCCCAGAACGTGGGGTTTTATGGGAAAGTCAGCCCATCCTTCAATGGGAAATGCTGGGAATGGTGACACTCGGGGGTGGTTGGTTTACAGCACCTGGCTCAGCAGCTGCACCCCATTTCCAGTGCTGTGTGATGCGTTTGTGATCTGCTGCTGGTGCTCTCAGTGGGGCTGGAAATGGGGATCTTCCCCTGAGAGCTGCTGGAAGAGCTGAAACGGGGGGTTCTTCCACCAGAGGTTTTGGAATGAGCACTTGCAGTTGTTAATTTTGATTCAGCTCTGTGGACTGAAGTGTCAGAGTAGCACCACAATGATTAAACTGAGGTTTTCTGTCCTTCAGAATCTGAAAAGGGGCTGCAGATAACCAAGAGACACAGGTTGTGTCTTTGCTCCTGTCCTGCCATTCGTGGCCAAGGAGAATGAGGGAGCAGCTGGGCCCACATCCTTTTAACCATGGCCTTCCTAAAAGCCATCCAGGACTGCAGGGATGATGTGATGCAGCCAGTAGGTCTCCAGTGAATTGGTGCTCGGCAGTGGAGTGACAGTTGATGGTGGTGGTTTTGCGGGGTTTGGTTTGGTTTTTTATTTTCCTGTAGTACCTGCAGGAGTGAACATTCCTGAAGGGATACATTTGTCTTGCAGGGTATCCCTTGTTCCTGTAGGGAAACAGCATTGCTGCTCTTTAGCTGGGTGGGCTGCACAGCACATTCTTCTGAGATGCACTGATGCCCACAAAGCTCAAAACAAATCACTAACAAACCTTAGGGATGTTTTCCAGGCTCAAATAAGTCACTATTTCTGCCCAGCCCTAGGGAAGGGAGTGCTGCGTTCTGGGGTCCCAGTTTTGCTGCTACGGAGAGAAATGGCCCAGAGAGGGAGCTAAAACGCCTCAAGTGCTGCTGGAAGGAGAAACAAGTAGCAAGTTCACGTTGAGTTTGCTGTGAATGTAGGCAGGGAGTGGACGAGGACATCGCGGTGGGGCAAATCTTTCTGCTGTGCCGGTGTTGGGCTCGTGGCTGGTACCGTTTGACTCTGTGGGCTCACACTCCAAAGCTTTGATGCTGAATCAGCCTCTGTGGGGATGCATTTTCATTGCTGCAGGTGCCAAGATGAGGTGTCCCTCCCCTCCCCACTCCTGCTCCTTCTAGTCTTGTTTAAACATCTTCTGACATCTGTTACAGCGTGAGAAGATTTCAAACACATTGAGCTTTTAAAGTGGTTTTATATATTGTATGTAAATGCTTGTTGAAGTGATATTTTATTAAACAGTTTTGCTCTAATAGCGTCTGTGTGTGAGGTCTGTTGGATTCTTGGGAACCAGCATGTTTTTTTGTCTCACTCTGTGTGTTGTGCTTGACTCAAGGGAGCAGCTACAGCCAGTCCAGGGGTCTGGGATGTGCCCAGGTGGCCAAGGTGGCCAACAGCATCCTGGCTTGTGCCACCAGCCTTCCCTCTTCTGTGTGGGTAACCATGGGCTGCCTTAATAAATCCCTCTCCTTGATCAGCCTGGCACCAATCACCTATATTCCCAAGAAGTGGGATGCTTCTAGGGCAGGAGGTGATTCTGTTGCCAGCCTGGGTTCAGAGCCTCTGCTGAGCAAGTTTGTTCCACCCAACTAGAATGGGGCAGGGAGACAACGCTTTTCTTCTTCGTAGCTGCAACAGAAGCCTAAATATATATTTTTAATCATCTATTAGTTACTTTCCTTTCACTGTTCCTGCTCAGGTAGGGCAAAATGGAAAAATGATCTACTTGTTAGCATTTGAGCTGCTTCAAAACATTGTCAAAATTTCCCCCAACTTTTCAAGGGTACTAAACCCCCCATTTGGTCTTAAGGGATTATTTTTGGGGGAGAAGGGTAGTGGGGAAGGGAAGACTAGCCCTAAATTATTCTGATCTTAAGCCCCAGTTGTAAAAATATCAAGCAGCTTCTATTTAAACCTGATGATATCACACGTGGCTCTGGCAGCCAAGCTGCCCAACAAAACCAACCAAACCGAGACCACAGTCTGTTCCAGTCGTTTATTTTGTACCATGGTATTTCAGAGTCAGTGAATACAGATGGTTTGCTCTTCTAGGCTTCAATACACACGACTATTGTGCCTAGACCTCAAGTGGTCTGCTTAGAGAAGCTGTATTTCATAAGTAAGTTGTACTTGCTCACAGCACAAAGTCCTTGACGGCTAGATCTAATGACAGAGTTAGGGCTAGTGGGTGTGGAGCTGATACTGAGGTGCCTGGACTCCTGCTACAGGGGACAGCGAGACAGCTCTGAAGGGTGGTGCAGGAACCTGTCTACTGAGCTCTTCCTACAGGTCACAGGAAATTCTGCTGCGTGGCTGAGAGCTTCCGGAAAAGCCATCTCTCCTGGGGTCCAGACACAGCCGGATTGTGGTGAGTCTGGAATGCTGTGTGGAAAACCGGTGCCTACGACTGCTTGTTCAGTAAGCAGCGCCTAAGTCAGTGCTTGGATCTAGCCCAGGGCTCTGTTACAGGCCTTTGGGTTTCAGCAGGTTGAACTAGACTGGGTTCATTAACATATTGCTTAAAGGAGTTCAATTAGACGTAATTTATAAATTTTGTATCAACAGTCAGATCTTTCAAATGAATATTGCTTTTTTTAAAAAAATATCCTATCCCTGTAGCAATCCCTGAAATAATGCTCCTGTAACGTCTTTATCATGCAAATAGCAGCATGTAAGCAATTCAAATATAAAATAAACAAGTCTGCCCAGTGGGAAAGGGAGGCACTTAGGCAAAGTGACTTGTAGTCACTCATGATCTATGCAAGACTTAGGAACAATCATCAGACCTGATTCCCACTCTTGAGCTTAAGCCACTGGACAGACAAACATTGTCTGGAACTACTGCCTGATGGCAGCAATACCTTTGTTGTGTGAAGATGGGCTTGTTTCATGTGTGTCACATTTAAACTCACTCTTCTGAGCTCATTTCCTGTACCTCTCGCTCCAGGAGCCAGAATAACTTGGTTCCAATTCTCCATTTTTAGAGCAAGGATGGATCAGAGTAAGGTAAGCATTCTAAAAACACCGAGTTGACTTTTCACGGGTGTGATGCAGAGGCAACATATAGGATGTTCTCGTACAGAAGGTACAGTTTGTTAACCAGGCCATCTGTTGGTACTGTTTTACGTTTTTGGTGTGCCGAGCAGTGTGTTCTGGGAGCGCTCTGGCTCTCCTGACAGTCTAAAGAAGGCTTGAAAAAAAACCACACACGAGCTCTGCAGATGAGTCCAGTGCTCCAGCACCCGCTGGAGCTGCATTGTGTTACTGAGGTGGTGGGGGAATTCCTTCTGAAGTCACCTTAAACTTCTGCCTCTCCCTTTCTTCTCTCTCAAAGCCTGAGCAGCAGACGGATCTGCCCTGGGGGTACCGGGCGCAGCACTTGCGCATCTCCCGAAGGACAGTCTCACACTTTGACTCCATGTAGTTGTTTGCTGCAAGAGAAGAAGGAGACCCAGAGTCTGCAGAGAGAAACAGGCTTTGTTCCCAGAGGGCACACCCAGCCCAGCTCCTCAGCTGCTGGGCAGGTTTCTCTGACAAGCAGGAGCTGCTTACGGGCGTTTCATCGTTTTCTCTGCTCTACAAAAGTCTCTCTTTAGGTTCAGCTCTCTAAAGCTCTGGCCAAAGGCTCTCGGAGAGAAGCCCTGCAGGGATGTGAGCAGGCTGAGTCTGGCTTGAGTTAATAACCACCTGCCTGTCTGCCTGGGAACACGGGGCATGCAGAACCCTCTGCAATCCTGATGTGCTTCCTTTCTGCCCAGCGTGAGAGGACCACAAGGTTAAGTTAAAAGAATTAAGTTCCACCAAAAATCAAGACACCAAAGACAGAAAAACACTTGGTACCTTGCAAACATTTCTGTATTTCACAGGCTTGTTTCTGGCACGGATCCTTCTTGGACATGTTCAGTGAACTAAAATGACAGGAAAATGTTACTGTAGAAACAAGGTGCTTTTCAGGGGATTGGGGGAAGACAAGTGTCTTAAAGCCAAAGCTTTCCAGAGGTCCCAATTTCCCCCACTGTCACCATTCAGAAAACATCTACTGCTGCTTGCAGATGACAGCCAACATACACAAGAACTCTCTGTGTCTGGCTAAAAGATGATAATGTGGACAATGAATATGGGAAGGTTTGTGTTGCTACATTTAAAGGCCTTTTTCTTTTCTCTGGTCACAATGTGTCCTTTTCCACTTGGATGCACCAAGACTCAGCAAAGATTCAAATTACCATGGCTGACTAGTTTTTAACAGTTCTGTGTCTCCAGACCTTATACTAAACCACATATTTAAGGGAAGGCCTTCTCTGTGAGCTCTACACAACCCAGGATTCGGTGTCAGTCATGGGACAGCAGCTGGAGAAGGCATTTAAACAATCAACAAAACTTAGATGTATATGCCCCATAAAGCCAACAAGGAGGGCTTTTTTTGGTCTGCTCCAGGAAATCCCCTCCCTCTGTCCAAAAAAATCCCACCACCAGATTGGAGGGCAGCTCCATCTTGTTCAAATCACTCGAAAGCAAGATTACACTCAGTTTGACTTTCTGTAGCTGTGACACCCGTAACTGTGATCCTCTGGGACAGAGACAAAGCCAAGCAAAAGCTGGTGGTACGAGCAGTTGAATGGGAGACCCCAGCAGGAAAGCACCACTGTCACTGGAAGTGGTGGTGGGAGTTCAGCTCCCTGTGAGCCACAGTTCAGCCTCTGCTCAGAGCCAGGGAGCTGCTGCCTTTCCAGTTTCTGACAGGTCACCAGCCCACAGCACTTTCCAGTATCGCTGGGGCGTTATTTCCAGCATCCTGGCCAAACTCCACTTGGGGCAATGACATTCTGCCTACCTAGAACTCCCCCTGACGCTTCACTTGGTCACAACACTCCTCTTCACTGCCTGTCCTAAACTCCTGTGTGATGTTGCTGTGTGTTGTTTAACTGCTTCCACCTTAGAGGTGGCTGCATTTCAGTGGAGAGAGAATCTTTTATTGTACAAAACAGACAATGGCATCTTCCTGGAGCCACTGCTCCTGCAAGACAAAAGTTCATGTTTAAAGAAAGACTGGGAGTAAAACAGTGCACAGTACAAAGCAGGGATAACGTCTGCACATACCAGATTAATCCCCAGGCACGAGTTTAAGCAGCAGTTCTTCAACACCACCAAGCTGTAAGTGACAAGGAAAAGTTCAATACGTCTACAGTAACTGTGCTCGAGCTAACGGACTTCAACAAAACAACAGTCCTTTGCCGTCCCTCAGGGATCTCAAACGACTTCACAAACAGGCATGACTATGGTCTATTGTTGCCACCATCCTTACCATGAGATGGTGCTCTATCTCCCAAACGCGAGAGTTACTATCCCTGTACTGCTCACCCTGGGACAGCTGCCACATGTGAGGCAGCCGGGATGGGGGGAGCTGGCTGGGTCGCAGCGCCTCACCCAGGGGAACCTGAACTCTTTGGATCCGAGCCCTCAGCATACCTTCCTCCTGGGGGGGAAGAGCAACAAAACAAGAGCAAACAATCAGTCACCGGCAGCACAGCAGCGGGGGCACCTCGAGACGGCGGTGCCACGACCGCCGGGGGGGAAGCTCAAAAGCGCACACTTGCCTCTTCCGCAGCCACGAGCCAGGTTTTGCGGTGCTCATCGCAGTAAACCCCCACGCGCCGCACCCAGAGCCGGACGGGAGGAGCGCCGGCCGCCCCCCCTTCTGCCATCCCTGGGGCGCTGCGGGAGCTCAGCGGGACGGCCCCAGCCCGCGGGGTGCGCGCATGGCCTCGCCAGCTGCGGGCACATCCACGGGGACAGCTCCCGGACCTGACGGGCAGGCGGTGCCCGGCTCGCTGGCGGAGATGCTACGGGGGCTGAAACGGCCCTAAAAGTCAGCTGGGGACGCTGAGGTGGTGCCTAAGCCAAGAGAGACGTCAGGCCAAGTTGTACACCGGGGCACGGGTGCCGTGTGGCATTTGTAAGGCATTCTGGGGCAAAAGGTGCTATTGGTACGGAGTTAAACCCTGGGAACACTGGCTTTGCTCATTCCACTAACAGTCCTATCAACAGTCTTTGTGCAAAACGGGGCGGGGGCGAAATAGTGGTGGTCTAAATTCCGAAAGCAAGGCTTGTGGCAAGAGGTGGGATGAGGTTAAGGACGAAGATCACTCTGGAGACAAAGCATGGAGCTCGGTGTGCACGACTCTCCCGGCTGGAGCTCTCAGAGCCATCGCCGTGCAGGGTCTTGGTCTCATCTCTCACAGGGGTGCCAGCACTGTCCAGTCCCACTCAAACTTCTCAGGAGCAGCTCTGGAGACTCTTGTCATTCGGCTTTTAGCTGGTCACAGAGAGCCTCCAACACCAGCAGGGGCAGAGGAGCTTTGGGCATTGAGGTGGTTCCTGCTACTGGGTTTTTTGTTTAGCAGCACGTTTATCTGTGTGCCAGTGAGGTCAAGCTGAGCCATTAGCAAATGGAGGGCAGGGGAAATGGTTCTCTTTGAGCCCTAGAGGAGGTAATCAAAATGGTACAGACAGTCTTCATCCTTTATCTAGGTTTAAAGTAGAACAAAGTTAAGCTGTAACACATACAACATCCTCCTGCTATGAAGCAGATGCAATATTCCTTATCCCAGGGAAACACAGTGGTCTTCTGAAAACTTGTAAGGTTATAAGGCATATTTCAGACAGGAGCAAGAAAATCTGGGTACAAAATAAAGGAGGGAAAGTCAGGGAGAGAAAAAAAAAAATTGTTATACATTGAGGTACATATATAAGAGGAAATACAAGTCCGTGTTGCTTTCCATATCTCACATCAGTGTTTCTCTACTTTTTGGAACCAAAGGAGCACTCAGCTTTCTGGAGAACAAAACACCAACCACGGATCAGCCTGAACAGCACTGTCACTGTATTTTCATTCCTAACAGAGAAAACTTGGAGCGCTCTTTTACGGTTTCTTTTTTTTCTCCCGTTCTGCTTTGTTTCCTTGCCTGGTGTGTGGGGATGTGAATGTGCACTCTACAAAGCACCACTGTTCTGAAGACCATCCTGTGGCGTGGGGCAGCCATTCCAAGCAATGCCCCAGCAGCTGGACCAGTAGCACTTAGAGGAATGTGTCAGCAGGCTGAGAAGCCTTCAGGAATCAGCTCTGAGGGTTACAGGGACATTTCTTTAAGTCTTTTCCTTTCTGCTTTACCTGAAGTCACTCTACAAATTTAAACCCCTGTGTGGAAACCGCTCTGCCCAGCAGTGAAACGCAGCAATTGCCACTGCTCGCTTTCAGCCAGCTGAATGTAATCACCCCGGGTGGAATTTGGCCAGGACACTCTCCTACTCTGCAGCGAGCTGCCAAAAGCTCCATTATGACCAAAAACGCTCAAGAACTTGCTTTTATTGCTGGAATTTCGACAGCTCTGTCATCCCCTGGACCAGAAGGCTCAAGATTCCGGTAACAGAAAAAAACGTGACTCAGTAAGTGAACTGTGCTTCCTACTGCAAGGAAACTCTCCTGCAAGGTCTCCTGTCCAAACACTGACCTGGTGCAGCCTGGCTGAACCACAGGCAGGGGGGCTAAGGCCCAGCATGCATGTCTGTGTTCACTGTGCATGAAGATGGCAGCGGTGACAGACCCAGGACAGACAGAACGTGCAGAGGACACCGTGCAGAGCGGGCAGAGGTTAATCTGTGTTTGCAGCCTTTGCCCCACCTGATTCGTCCCAATTTTCCCCAGAGCTCCACAGCTCTGGGTTCAGAGTTCAGAGGCCCAGTCTGGCCCAGTTAGTGCCACACAGAAAATCTGGGGGTCAGGCAGAACCGTCAGTTGGGGTTTGAGGTGGGGCAGGTCTGCCTGCAGCACCCAAACACGCCACAGAAACGGGAGATCCCACGAGCACACACTTAGACACTGCACCTGGACACACACACAGCTCCTATTTCTGCAGCTTTTATCAGAAAGCAGCACCAAAGCCTGAAGGAAGACACGGGTGGAAGGAGAAGTGAGCTTACTTATATTTTAAACAGGTTTTAAACTCGGCTTTCTTGCTTCACAGTCTGTTAAAAACCCACCACGTTCAACACAAACCCAATCAGCTGAAATCTGCAGGACTGCAGCATCATCCTCTGACAAGAGATTTTAGTGTTCCCATCAACATAACTGTAGAAGGCTGGGCTGTCTAAAGGGTTGTTCTGGGCAGGTTCAAAGCCTGATCCCTGCAGAGAGGAATAATGCCCACAGGTATTCTGTCCATCTTAGCATCAACCTTAGAAGATGAATGCTGTTCTAGGACCTGGGTGGATTTCTGAGCCACACAATATATGGATAAATGTGATAATGGCCAGAAGGAGGACTGCAGCTTGTGGTGAAGACAATTTATTTGCTTTTAAATCGGGTACATTAAAATATTTTTAAGAAAAGAGTGAAAGAAACTGCTCCAGATGCTGCTTGGGCCACCCTAGAGCTGGAGCTCGGTGTGCTGAACAAACTGCACCCTTTAGCACCTTCTGTTTCAAAAGGCAACTGAGTCAGACTGTTTTAGAAGGGCTCAGTTGCCATTTGGGTAGCAGGGGAGGTGCTGCTGACACACTGACGGCTCCCAGAGCAAGGCTGCCCAGCCCGGCCTTCTGCTGGGGTGTGACAGCTGCCCCGGGGAGCTCCGGGGGTGCCGGGCTCTCCTCAAACACCCGCCCCGGCTCTGCCAACAAGTCAGGCAGCAGGTGAGCTGTCTGCTGATGTGAGCACCCTCTAAAGCTTCTCGCTGGGGGTCTGCACTCTACCCTGCCCGGGGCGAGCCCCTCTGCCCCCACTGCGCTCCGCCCGACCCACGGAGGGTACGGATGCTCACCGACCAGCCGGGCTGTCCAGCCGAGCGGCGAGGGCGGGTCGAGCTGTGGTGGGATCTGGAGAGACAGGGAGACAAAAAAGAGGTCGGCGTGATGCGGAGGGAGCCGGGGAGAGGCGCGGGGAGGGCGAGCGGCGGGGGGGACTGGGCCGGGCCGGGCCGGGGAGCGGACAAGGAGGGCCAGAGGGTTGCGGGGGCGCAGCACAACCCCGGTGGGTGTTTGTGCGGCGGGGCCGGTGGGTGTTTGTTCGGCGGCCCCGGTGTTTGTTGGTGCGGCGGGGCCGGGCCGGGCCCGCCATGACCTACCTGCACCCGCGCCGTGACCGCCGCCGCCGCGTGCGCCGCGCTAAGCCTTCCCCCGCCCGACACCCCGCCGCCTCCCCGCACGCCCCCGGAGGGGCGGGCCCCGCGCCCGACCCAGCCGCCTTGAGCCGGGCCGGGCCAGGCCCCGCCCCGGGCCGGCCTCGTCGCCCGCCACGCCCGCCCCTCCCGGGCCCCGCCGCGGGCGCGGGGCGCGGCGCGGGGCGCGGCGCGGGGCGCCGGCGGAACCCCGGCGGCGCCGCTCCCGTGGGCGGCACGGCCCTTCCGCCGCGCCGCACCGCCCCGGCGCCCGCCGCGCTCATTGGCCGGGCCAGCCCGCGCACCGCGCTGCGATTGGCCCCGCAGAGCGGGGGGCGGGGCCGGGGCCGTGAGGGGGAGGCAAGATGGCGGTGCAGGCCGTGCACCTGGAGGCGGACGCGTTCCTGGTGTGCCTGAACCACGCGCTCAGCACCGAGAAGGAGGAGGTCATGGGGCTCTGCATCGGCGAGGTACCGTCCGGCGGGGGGGGGGGGGAGAGGCGGGCTTGGGGTTCTTCAGCACGATAGTGTTTGCCGCGGTTACCGTAGAGTGCTCAGGACAAACACCAGGGCTGAACGCGGCTCTGCGTTAACCCCTCACATCCGTGACTGATAGACTAGAGCCACCTAATGCTGCCTTATTTACCAGTATCAGTCATTAATAGGTGCTAGCAGGTGTCCTAGTTTTGAGAACAAAGAACGGTAAGAGGGAGGTGCATCATCACCTGACCGCGTGTGTGAGATACTCTCAAGGGGAAAAGATTCCTTAGAAGATCCAGAACCATAATAAGGACGTTTGGGGAACGGGATGTTCCCGTGTGACCTCAAAATACCCCCAGTCGTATTCAAATAACCCCAGTGAAATAGTCGGCGTGCGTTCGGAAGGCGCGATGAATATGGAATAGTGTGATGAATATGTATTGGTGTGTGAATATGCATCAGTGTGGTGAATATGCATCAGTTCCGTGGCTGTGCCCTGCTCTGTTCGGTTGCTGAGTGTGCCTTTCATGGAGTTATCCCCTCGCTCCCGAGTGAAGGAATCTCGGCTTTCTAACCCAACAAACGGGTTGCAGGGTTTATTTCCCGGCTCTCAGTGTGACAGTCGGAGCCCGGGGGGTTTCCCCTCCCCGTGTGCCCGTGTAGGGCGGGGCAGTGAGCGCTCTCCTCTGTGGCAGGTGGACACCAGCAGGATCGTCCACATCCACTCGGTGATCATCCTGCGCCGCTCCGACAAGAGGAAGGACCGCGTGGAGATCTCCCCGGAGCAGCTCTCGGCTGCCTCCACCGAGGCAGAGATATCCTTCAGTGCTTCCCCGTGGGCTGTGGTTCGCACTTGCTCTGCTCTCAGCTGCTCCCCCTGCAGCCGCTGGGCTGGGTGGGCTGTGCTGGCACCTGCCTTTCCCTGCACTTGGTTCCAGCACATCTTGCAGTGGGGCTGTGCCGCGAAATGTTTGTCGTTTCTGTGTGTTTGGTGACAACTCTGCAGTGTGTTTGCTGGGGAGGGTGGCACTCCAGCAGGGAGGCTCAGTGGGAGATGGAAGGTCAGCAGGTCTCCAGGCAGGGCACTGGGGAGCCTCTTCTTTGCACACACTTGGGGATTCTGGCTCGGTTGGCTGTTGAAATGTTCTTTACTGCCACCTGCAAGCCAAATCCAATTTGCTCCTGCAGCAGGGACTCCTGAGGGTGCTGGGGAAGAGGCTCCATCAGCTCCCTGCCACGTGTCTTGTCACCCCTCCAGAGGGACCTGGAATTCTCTTGGCTGATGAGAAACTGTTCTTAAAAACTCTGTCATTTTTCCTGGTACAAAAAGCTCTTTCCCTTTAGTCTGCTGGTTCCAAAAGCTCCTTGACTCCCACACAGGTTGGCTGAAATGACAGGACGTCCCATGAGGGTGGTGGGCTGGTACCACTCCCACCCCCACATCACTGTCTGGCCCTCACACGTGGGTAAGAGGAGCCCTGAGCTGGGTCTGGGTGGAACTCCCAGCTGGCTGATCGTGTCTCAGACATCCCCTGGTAGGAGCAGCCTGTCTGGGTGGGCTCCAGGGGCCTCTGCCAGTGCAGCCCCATTCCTGGGTGTGCCCCAGGGACTCAAACATGACTCAGATCAGCTACTGCTGCTGCTGCTGTTCTTCCAGAGAGGAAAACCAGACCCAGGGTGTGGGGAACGGCAAAAAAAACAGCTGTGGGAATCCTGGGCCTGCTGTGGTGATTTTTGGCATCTGAGAGTGTTAATGCAAAACTGAAAAGTTCTATGAGAGAAGTGCACGAGTCTCTTGTATGTGCTGGACTTTATGGGGACCTGTGGCACCAGGCTGTTCCTGAGGTCACTTCTGGGTTTGTGAACTCCTCTGGTGTTTTTAAGATTTGCTATTTAATTACATTTCAAATTGGATTTTCCTTTTTTTTTTTTTTTTTAATGTAGTCACTCAGAGTAAGGGCTTTTAAAAATAAAGCTTGTGACACTTGATGCCAAATTCCAGGTCACCCTTCAAAAAGTGGGAAACCTTTTCCCACTGCCCCAGGTGAGCAGTGCAGTTCTCATTCTCTCATTCCTGTGCCTGCAGATGTCCGTACACAGGCCATGTATCAGATGATGGACCAAGGCTTTGTAGGGCTCATCTTCTCCTGCTTCATCGAGGACAAGAACACCAAGGTAAGAAACTTTTAAAAATGGCATCAAACCCTCCAAGTGCTTTTGAGAAACATCAGGGCAAAGCTGAAGTCCTTGGGTGCAGCCTGCAAGAAGGAGAGAGCTCTGCTGGGGGCATGTGAAAAGCCCAGCTGGAATGGGGGTGTTTGGATTGTGACAGTGACAAAAGAACAGGTCTGTGCCTTTTGCAACCTGTTGGAATTCTGTTTGAAAGCATATTCTGCCTCCTAAGGGAATGTGAGGGTTTAGGTGGGTTTTTACACTTGAAATCTGACTTTCTGCTGTTCTCTCCCAGACAGGCAGGATTCTCTATACCTGTTTCCAGTCAATTCAGGCCCAGAAGAGCTCAGAGTGAGTACAGCAGAAGAATTTTATGTCCAGTGTCTGGTTGTATTTCATTTTGGCTCTCACTGTCAGTTGTATTTCACCTTGGCTCTCCTTTCTGGATTGCCTCAAATAAGAGGCTTCTGGGCCTGTCACGAGGAGTAAATACTGTTCAGAGATGCCTGCATGAGGTCTGACTTCTAGTGCAGGCTGCTGGAAGAGAATGCAAAGATTAATTTACCCTAGAAAGTTTATTATCTCAGGATTTGGGGTAGGTTGCTGTAGGCAGGGTGGGGTTTGTGCTGTAACCTGTTGTGTAGAAGCCCCATCTTTTTACTTCCAGCTCTGGAGGCTGAGCCTTCAGGCTCCTCACTGACCACACACGCTTTGTTGTCAGTGCTGGCCACCCAGTTGCTTTTGCATTTGATTTTATTTTTGTTAATAATTTTTTAAAATAATTTTAAGACAAGTGTATGGCTATAAAATGCTTCCCTTTGGCTGCCAACTAAGGCATACATGTTCCCAAAAGTGGATGTGCAGCACTGCCATGTGTTGGGCACACTGTGGCAGGTTGTGCAAGCCCCCTTTTTTTCCTCTGCTGCTTTGAAGTTCATTCTATCTGAAACTCTTCCAGGTATGAAAGGATCGAAATTCCTATTCATGTCGTCCCCCACGAAACCATTGGGAAAGTGTGTCTGGAATCGGCTGTGGAGCTGCCCAAGATCCTTTGCCAGGAAGAGCAGGATGCCTACAGGAGGATTCACAGGTGACAGCAGCGGGGCTCTTTGCTGACATGTTCTGCTGTTGCTGCACCACAACCTTAGCAAAGCTGTAGGAGATGGGAAGGATGAGCAGCTCAGGTGCCTCTGCAGGAGTGGTTGAGTGGCTGGGGTTACCAGCAGCATGTGGGATTTTGTGATCTCGAGTCGGTTGTGAATGTGCAACAGGTCAGGAGACACCTGTGGTGTGGGCAGTGACTGGCAGTGATTCTGCAGCCTGGATTTAATGTGCAGCTCCCTGGCTTGTCCCTGACCTGCTTTCTGTTCCTTCTGGTAGCCTCACCCATCTGGACTCCGTAACCAAGATCCATAATGGCTCAGGTAAGGATTCCTTTTTTGCATGTGAGAATCCAGGGTGCTGCTCCCAGAGTCAAAGCAGTGGAGTTTCGAGCAGGGTTTGGTTTGGTTCTAAAGACTGCACGTGTATAACACTCCTCCCTTTGGCATAAAAGGCAGCTGTAAATAGCTAGGAAAGCACAAATATTAGCTTTTTTTTGTCTTTGCCACACTCCTCCTAATCACAAAGGCTGTAGAACCCAGAGAATTCCCTGAGATTGTTATCTTGTTGCATAAAATCTAGTTAAGGAGCAGAACTGAACTAAATACTCTATAGGAGAACATGTTAAATAGCCTCATCCTGGGGTTCATGAATGCTGTTGTGTCCTTTGGTTAAAATTACAGCAGACTTTGGGATTGTTTGGGTTTTCCGGGTTTGGTTTGCTTAGGTTATTTTTTCTGTTGGAACAGCGAGGGGGATTTGGGATTTGTTGAGAGTTAAGAGTGTTGTGTGGCTGAGCTGCACACACGCCTGAGTCTCCTGGCTCTTCATATGAGCTACGTGGGTGTGACATCTTTGCTTTTGCCAGTGTCACAAGGTGAATCTCAATCCCACTTCTGTTCCAAGGTAATTATCCCATTACCCATTCTCACTCATTTAAGAGATGAGGCATTGATTCCTCTAAATGTAGAGATTAATTAGCAGTGGTGATGACTTGCGTGCAGGTTTCCAGATTTCTGCTGCAGGTCCCTCCCCCTGGCTCAGACTGAAATAGCATTTCCCTGTTTATCCAGCTGCTGGTTCTGCCGTTCCTGAGGGGAGGTGTGGTTGGCAGGGCCAGGATGGTGGAAGGTTTTCACCTTGGCTCTCTGGGACCCTGCTGGCTTTGGAGTGGTTTGTAGCACGCCCAGTGCCCCGTGTGGTGCCCTGGCGTGACGTGTGGTTGCTCTTTGCAGTGTTCACAAAGAACCTCTGCAGCCAGATGTCAGCCATCAGCGGGCCCCTCCTGCAGTGGCTGGAGGACAGGCTGGAGCAGAACAAACAGCGGGTGCAAGAGCTGCAGCAGGAGAAGGAGCAGCTCCTGGAGGAACTTGCTGCTTTAGAGTGAGCAGGAAATGCAGACCCTTCAGAAAAGAGACATGGAAAAAAAAAAATCTACACCCCCTCCTCCAGGCTGAAGGGTGGCCCTGCATTGCCTTACAGTGAAGGCTGTGCCTCTTCTCCTGCAGCACAGAGGATGTCTCATCATCTCCAGGATGAGGACTTTGTCTCCAAGAGCAAAGCCAGGGCTGTGTCTGCAGGTGCTGCCATGGTGGGGCTGGGCAGCACCTGAAGAGACTCCTGTTCTGGAGGGCACACACGTAGGGAACACGTTCTTTCTCCCTCCTCTATATTTTGACAGAAGTTTTACTGCTTTGCATGTATTCCAGGAGCCTGGAACTGGAGGGTTAGAGGGGAAAAGTGTGTCCCTGCAGTCATATCTGATGCTGCCAACTTCTGCCTTCTTTTAGTAGCTTCAGTTGACCGTGATCTTATATCTAGTAATGTTCTGGACCCCTGGCCATCCACCCAGCCAGAGAAGAGGTGGGAGGGAAGCTTGGTAAGGAAGAACTGGAAGAACTTTTGACACAGGATCTGTTCAGCATATGTCAAACCAAATAAAGAATTCCAAAGCTAGAGCTGTTTGCAGGAGAAATGAAATGAATGCTACGACGTGCCAGTGCCTGCAGGTTTTGGTTCAGTCTGTATTCTCTTCATGCAATGCCATTGTGAGCCCAGCACTGAAGTTCTCTGCAAAATCAGCTGTTCCTGCTGCTTCGGTGACAGGACTGTGGTTCCTCCCCAGAGGGAAGAAGTTTAAGGTGCTGGAAAGAGAACTGGTGGATATGCAAGCCTGTCATTCTTATATGCTGAACTTAATTGTAAAAATCTCCTAAGACTGGAACAAAATTGGTGTTGTTGCTGTTGCAGTTCAGAGTATCCCCCATCCTGTACATCCTCAACTGTATTCCGTGTTGTGAAGTTTGTCTCGTGAGCAAAGGGGGAAAAGCACAGTTAAAATTCCTGTTTCAGCTCCTTGGCTCTCATCTGAATCCTTACACACTCAAACAGATGAAAATGAGCTGCCTGCATTACTGCAGGGAACATTCTTCGATTCCTGACAGCCCCTTGTCTGGACTGTTCCTGTGGGAGAATGAAACCCTGCCAGTGAGGCCAGCAGGATGAGCAGTCAGCTCTGGAAGCCTCATAACCCCCTTGCTTTTGTCAGACTTGACTTTTCAAGCTTTCTGCATTTCTGTTGGCAATCCCCAAAGAGCAGAACTTTCAAGTATAACACTCACTACTGGTTTTTTTTTTTTTCCTTAAAAGTGCAGTGAATAGTAATTTTCTTTAGGTTTTGAACAGTCAGTGGGTTTGTGCAGTTGTTTTTGTTGCTGGTTTCTAGTTCAAGTGCTCCTTACCCTTATCTTTGCTGGGGAGAGAGGGTGGTGCCTCAGTGTCCCCAGGCTCGATAAGAGCTCCTGGGAGCAGCCCAGGGCCTCCAGTGCAATCTCCCACTGGCAGCTGGGATGGGGATGCTTGGATCATAATCCCAGAGACAAAAGGAAGTGAAGGACTTTGCTGATCCACAGCCTGGCTCTCCAGCCAGTAAAGCTGGGCTGGCAGCAGGGTTCTGTGTAGTTGTACAGAACCCTGGTTAATCTGAAACAAAGAAGCCTGAGGTTCGTTGCCACAGTTGGTACGACGTTAGCGTTTATTGATTATTCAGCATTATTGAATTCCCTGAGCAATTTGCTTACAGAAAACACGAACACTAAAAGACAAATTCATTCAGTCACATTTTACGTGAAAGACTAAAGTCATCCGTGGTGGAAAGTGTTTGAATCTGCTTTCCCCACCCTGACCTCTTGCATCTATTTTAGTTTCTATGACATCTCAATGACAGAGGTAAATTGCATTCACATTTTCAATCAGAGAGCCTCAGTCTCACTCAGGGCCAGAAGGCCTTGGCAAAACTCACTTTCTCTACCAGATTTAAGCCACCAAGGATCACTCAAGAGACTCCACATGGGAGAATATCTGAACCCATGTTGAAGCCCAGCTCAGGTCTGCCCCTCTTCCTGCCTGGAAGTCATTCAGATGGAATCAGAGGACTGGTGGGCCTGGACTTCCTTCCACCTGGCAATCCCAGACAGATGCACACCCGGCAGTTCCTCAGCACATACACAGAGCTTACAGCACACAGGTACCAGATGGAAGAGTAAATCCATTGCTCCCTGGAGTCAGTGAAGACATGCTGGGGAGCACTGTGTGCTGCTCAGAAAATTCCAGACAAACGCAGTGAGTCAGTCCCAAAGGGCCTGGAACTGCATCTTCCCAGGCACAGGTGGTGTTCACCTGAAGTCTAAGGATACCCTGACTTGTGCATCACCCTGGACTAGCTGTTGTCATTTTTGCTCACTCTTGCCCATTTTAGAAAAGGCTTTAAGGTCTTTATTAGAAATACTTAGTGCTCAAATTATCTGGAATGCTCTGAAACAATTCTTAGACTCACGTTAGACTCACCTGCTACTCTACATACAAAATTTAGGTGGCATCAAGTAAGGAAATTAAAAGGAATCATCAAGCCTGGTTTTCAGAGCGAAATCAGCCCCGAGTTTCCTCATGACCTCCGCGTGGCTCAGCCCCTGCTGCTCTCTCTTGGCCAGTCCGTAGTTCTCCTTCACGTACTTGGCAAAAGGTGTGAGCTGTGTCCTGGCAGGGGTGCCCCCCTTGCCCGGGGGCTGGCGCAGGCACAGCCGTCCCCCACAGAAGGCACACACGAAGCGCTCCGTGTCCAGGGACTTGGAGTGCCGGCCGATCCTGCCGGGGAAAATAAGGATTTGTGGGAAGGGGCTCCTTCCTCTTCCACCTGGATACTCAGGTCAGGTTTCTAAGCCAGTATTTGAGAAGAGCAAACAGTACCCACTTCACACAGCAGAACAATCAAATCTGTATTGCACAGCTCTGTCCTAGAACTTACTCCACTGCCTTTTGAGCTTGGACCCTCCCTCTGTCTCTCCTACTCTCAGCCCAGGAGTATGAATTGCTACAACATTTGCAAACACCTCCACAACCCACATATCAACTGCCCCTTGGAGTTTCTCCTCAGAGCCATCACCAAAAAACATCAATGCTCTGATGCATCTGAGCAACTAATGCATTGTACAGTCCTAATCAACACCTCAAGAAGATTCCATATGTGAAATGTTTCCTTCTGGGACTTGCACATATGACCCTGAGAGTTAAAAAATGCCACATATGCTTTCTAAGCATAAATTCTCCCTAAATTTTGGAGAATGGAGTGGGATAATAATAATAACAACAACAATACCAACAACAACACCCTTGTCAGCTGCTTTTTTTTAGTCTTAATTCAAAGTCATCAAGATACAAACCCTAGAAAGCTTCCTCTGATACTTTGTCCTAGGATCTAACTGTTGTCACACATTCTGTGCCCAGTTTTTACAAGGACTTGTTCCTTCAAAGCCAAGGTACATATCTCTTAACTGCTTCCCAAAGACCCCCCATCATCTCACAGGACACTTTTGCCTGTCCTGACCTCTGAACTAGAACTCAAACTACCTGGAAACAAAAACATGTGGGAATCCCACAGGGAGGTTCTGTGGGCTCTGAAAACATCAGGGAACTCAGAGTATCCCAACTGCTTCACATTTTAAGGGCCCCGTGATTTCTAGAGCCAGGAGACCGGCAAGCTGAAGTGAACACACGGTCACATCCCAGCGTTACTCACCGAGCTTTGCACTGAACACACTCGTAGGTGAATTTGTAGTTGATCTCGTAACTGTGGCACCGCGTCACCACCGGCAGCTCGGGGTGAATGACGGCTGATTTGTTGGCGTAGAACCTCCAGAAGCGCCCGTGTCCATCCCGGACGCCGTTGATGAGCCAGGTGGCCGCGTGGCAAACCTCGTGGATCAGCGTGTCCCGCAGGCGGTCTGGGGGGCAGCACACACACACTGACGTCAGCCAGGCGTGGGGAAGCACACACTTACCAAGTGTGTCCTAACTAAGGGTTATTTTGGAGGTCAGAACTACCACTGTCTTGATAAAATGCTCCAAGGCAAGGTTTTACGTGGTGCATTTCCAGCTTTGTGATGAGCTCCAGTTCAGCATCCTGGTTGCTTCCCTGCACACCTGATCTGTTTGAGGTTTTTTTCCACTGGTTGGTTAAGCCTTTGACACTTTTCCCACAGCATTTTCCTGGAGAAACTGGCAGCCCATGGCTTGGACAGGTGTATTCTTCCTTCCTTGGGTAAAAAACTGGCTGGATGGCCAAGCCCAGAGAGTGGTGGGGAGTGGATTTACCCCCACCTGGGGCAGGTCACCAGTGGTGTTCCCCAGGGCTCAGTCCTGTTTAACATCTTTATCAATCCCTTTCAATTAAAACCATTTTATGATTTGTTTCCCCAAACTGGGAAGGGATGAGCGAGAAAGAACAATTACAGTGCCACTTAATAGGACTTAACATGTCCCTGACCTGTCTTTACTCCAGCTTTAAACACTACCAACAAGGTGGCTGGCTGTGATGGAAGAAATCAGCTTTAAATTGCCACTGTAGCACATACAGAATTAGAGCAACACGATGCCTGTGGGTCTTCAAATCAGTAAGAAATATAAACAAAATACTGCAGTTAATGTGAATACATCTCTGCTCTCACATTTTGTACATTTGCCCAGCCTCTCAATCATCAATTGATGGATTTATTTATTCGAGGTAATACGAAATCTCAAAGCAGGGTCCAGTTTCAGGCCTCAGATTGGTGTTTTTATCTCTATAACTTGCTTGCTTAAAGAAGAATCGACACATCAGTTCTTTTCCCCACCTGCAGAGTCACAGACTTTCTCGGACAGCTCGATGCGAGCGTAGCGCTTTCCCTCGGGACGTGTCTGCCCTGTCACACAATATCCTGCTGTTTTCCTCATCTTCTTATTCCAGATTATCTCCATTGCCTCTGGTAACTGAAAAACAAAACAGGACGTGTCATCTGCCCTCTCTGCCTCTCTTATCTTCTGGCCCTCTGGCTTCCCCTTGGATCTGCTGCAGAGCTGGTACAGGATGTTCCTAACACACTGTGGTCCCTTAACATGCAAACTCACCCCCCGTGGCTTCTTATTCTCACAATCAGTGTCTCTGTAACCAACACTGGGAGTTCCACAATGCAGGATGAGACCAGAAGTCCCTTAGTTCCTCTATTCTACCTCCAACAGTGGCTAAACAAGCTGCTTAAGAAGAAATACAAGGACAGGATAGGCAGAAACCGCAATTTCCTCTTCCAAAAAAAAAAAGAACCTCTTTCCAACTGCTAATCATTTGTAAGGCAACACCTCCCTAAACCACAGGTGGTTCCTTTGTATTAAATACCCATTAGAGTGGTTTTGTGGAGAGAGAGTGTGTATGTTTAAGAATACATAAGTATTTTTAGCATCTACAGCAGTCTGTGATCAGAAGTTCTACAATTTAATAATTTACAGGTTAAGTGCCATCTGCTTTGGTTGTGCTGAACCTGCAACTTGCAATTCACTCTGTGAGAGGGTGAATAATCCCCCCTTGCTTATCTTCTGCGCTGCCCCTGATTTTGCAAGCCCTCATCATATCTATATTAATTAGTTCTGTACTTTTACCAAGAGTTTTCTGTCATCTAAATGAATGAGCTTAAGTCAAGGCTTTAACAGCAGTAACTGCCAGCACAGGCTCAGGGCTGAAGCACTGGTCAATCAGATATTTTGCTTTCAGCAATAGCAAGCCTGTTCAGCTCAGTTTTATGTGAATTTGTGACCTCAGCCTGCCCTTGGTCAGCTCAACAATATTCTCTCATCTGCAGAGAAACATTTTCCTTCCTGAAGGAAATTTCTGTTGGAATTACTGAGCACAGCATCCTTCCTTTCAAGGATATTTCTCACCAGAGCAGGGCCCCCAGTATCCCAACAGATGTGAAGGCCAAGACAGCAGTTCTCTGAAATTTAAATCTGAAACACAACCTGTAGCTTTCTGCCCACCCAAAACTGCTACTCGAAGCATAAGCACCTTTTTAATCTGTTGCAGAAAGGCAGGCATGGCCATGCAACACAAGGATCAGATGAAACCAATCCAAGGGCCCTCCCACAGCAGCTTCTCCCATCAGAGCCTCCTGGATTCCACCCAGACTCCTGACTCGAGGATGGTGCTTCATCCATCACAGCTGGGAAAGCAAAGCCACTCTGAAAACTGCTGCATCCCAACCCCCTTCCAGAGAAACTGCCCGAGCTAAAGCAAACACAAGGCATTGCTGTGAAGTTTAGCACTGAAGAGGATAAAGAAGTGAGGAGTGACATATTAACCAGCATTTTAGAACAGTAATTCTTGTTTTGAAACCAACCTTCTGATCAAAGATGGTGCTGTTGAACAGCCTGTAGAGCTTCTGAGTCAGCTCCTCTTTATTCTTCTTGAAAGACTTCACATAGTGGGAAGTGGGATTTGAAAGATCTTGCAAGAAGCAACCAGGCACTGAGCACACCCTGAGCCTGCAAGGAAAGCCAGAAAGCTCTTGTAAAGGTTTTGTGTTGGTAAACACAGTTATAGAAATGACCAGAGGAGTCACTACATCATCCCAGGCAAAGTGCTTAGCACCTCTTTGTCCATCTCTAAATGACCTGGAACACAGGAACAGTGGAGAAACACTCACCTTCTGTCTGTCTTTGCTGATTGTGAGCAAGTGACCAGTTCATTCCCAGGAATTCTTGCAGGAGTCCTTGTCGTGGAAGATATTTCTGCAATTGAAGTGGAGTTTGGCCTTGGTATCTTGACTCCCTCCCCTTTCAAGGGCTGTGCATCTTTGCAGGGTGGCTTGATGTTTTCTGGTTCAACAGAAAGAGCCACAGGATCACACACTGTCCAAGAATCAGGAGCACAGACACCAGCAACCAACTGACAACACTGGAAAAGCCAAATATTGCACCTCAGAATGAACTCCTGCTGTGCACACCTGAATGCAAAGGCATATATAATTGATATATTCCACTTAAGGAAACTGCTCTTTCCCAGGGCATATTTCTATGTTGTAAATCATCCTCATTTCTGATTCACCAAATGCAGATCCAAAGTTGCTGGGCTGCCCCTCAGGAGTCTGTGCCACATAAATAGGAAGAGTCAGGCACAGTCAGCACTGCCACTGCAAGTTAGCCATGAACAACTGCTTACCTACTGAGCTGGGCTGATGGACAGTTTTACTTGTGCCTAGGACTGGTTTTTGGGGCGGATTTCTCTTCTTTATGCGTTCCATTAAGGATTCAAAGCTGTCATCGGAGCTGTCTGACTCTACTGCCACTGTGGAACATTTATTTTCTGTGCTCTTTTCACAGCTTCTTTCTTTCCTTCTGACAGGCACATCTGGGCTGCCTTTGGAGACTGACCCTTTCAGATTTTGTGGAGGTGAAAGTTTTGTGCACCTCTGACTCTCTTTCCAGTCTTTCCCTCCCCCTTTTTGGGGGTCGTGCCATGGACTTTCCACAAAGACAGAATCTTCAGCGTCGCTCGAACTGTCTGCAAAATGCAATTCCTGGCAGCAAGTGCTTTTCTTTCCAGAACTCATCAACTTCCTCGGGGTCTGAAGATCCTTCTGTGCTGCAATCCAAAAGAAAGAGCTTAAAGTTTTGGCAGTTGCATTTCAGAGACCTGCCTTTGTCTGAACACCAAAAAAAAGTCCCTTGAAGGATGGGAAAACATAAACAGAGAGGAATCTTTGCATTTGCTTTGCTCTGCCCTGCTCATTTACCATTTTACTACGTGAAAAGTTACTGGAAGATATATTAAAATAAAGCAGCCTGCCAACAAACAAAGCTTGTGACATCCCAGCTCTGTCCTGTCAGGACCAAGGGATCACATCAGATCTACAGGAGACCTTTTTTATTTTTCCAGTGATGCTTCTGGTCCACTTTGCTTCACTCATTTCCCCTCCAGACACCATTCCATTGGCTTTCTGCAGCTTTTCCCAGATGGCACACACTGTTCAGGGTTCACATTCCCACCAGCTGAAAGAGATCCTGCCCTTCTTGATCAGGGGTCAGCTCTCTCCGAGATTTATGCTGCCTTTCCGCTCATTAAAATTCCCACCTCAGATATGCTGTTGCACAATTACTTGCCATTCTTTTTCGTGCTCTTTCTCACTTTAAAGTCCAAGAAGAAATCATCTGAGTCATCAATGAAGTCTTTCAAACTGTAAAATAAAAAAAAAAAAGGTAGGACTAAGCAGGAGAATACAACAGTAAATTCACCCTACTAAGAAAGCAACCCAAAAAAAGCCACCCAATAGAACACTATTATTGTTCACCACGAATGGTACCAACTTCATCCATAAACAGGAATGGCAAAGGAGCATTTACACCTCCCAACATCCCATTTTATCTTTATCCTGAACTTACAGACTGACACATTAACAGTTCTGTCTGCACTCGCTCCCATACAGGAATCTGCCCATGAGTCACTAGACCTTTTGATTGTTTTTCTTGTATTCTGCTTAGTAAATGTGATACAGAAAACTGTTATATGAACACAGAAAGGTAATTAATTACAGCACCCACCTTGCATCTGCCTTTTTAGGAACACTTTTGGGAGTTTTCATTCTGGCTAAAACTAAAGCAAGAGAAGATTAATTAAGAACAAGGTTCTGTTTCTTTTCTTAGGCATTTTCAAGTTTGCAGCCAGTAAAAGATCAAGTCTTTAAAACCCACGAACTTGTCTCTTGGCAGATATTTTCACTGCAGTCTTTCCTACAACAGCTGGCACTACAGTGACAGGATGGCAGCAGAGTGGCTTTGCAAATATTCTGCTCCAAGTCCCCTTCCAGGACAGAGAGGGCACATCACTCAGCAGCCTCCCTGAAAGAGGAGCCAGGGGAAGGAGCAGACTGGCAAATATTTAACTTCAAAACAAATTACAGAAAAGTGAATAATAATATATAATTCAATAAATATATTGAAATATTTATCAGACTTAAAAGTCCAGAGGTAGTGCAGGAACTATATACAGCACATTTTATTTCAGCTGGTAGTAAGGCTTGAGATGATTCACGTGGCACTGAGCTGGAGCACGGCAAGAACTCCAAAGCAATGAGAAATCTGCTTTAAAGGTTTATTCAAAGATCTTTTGTAGGCTAAGAAGAAAGCAAATGAGTGACAGGGAAGGGATAAAACTGAGGCAACAACAGAAATGTAATGCAAGGCAAAAAGCATCCAAAAATGAGGCAAATTAAAAAAACACTCCCTGTGGCATAGAGCCACCAAGACTGCACTGCAAGGACAGAATGTACTTTGCAGCACAAGCTGTGGAAGAAAATCATGTGTAAAAACACTTCACTGTAACTAGAAATGTGTCCTGCTCATAGTCCAGAAAACAAATCGTGACTTACACGTCTCAAATTCGTCATCACTGCTGGAAGACAAGTACAGGGCCTGGCTGCAAAAAGTGAAATGCAGAACGTTAGGTCAGTGGGAAGTGGATCTGCATCTCCACCGGTCTGAAACACCTGTGAACACCCAGAACCAAATATGGACTGGGAAAAGCACTGAACATCGCAAACAGGCTGAACCATTTGAACTGTTTAAAACAGGAATATTATAAATTTTAATATATAAGTTCTAGCAACCCTGTATGTACAATGTCAGTAGCAATCAACCATCAAAATCTGGAACCCTTTGAAGGCACAGGCTTGGGATATTGTGTTGGATACCAGAAGTCAGAAGGGACAGAAAGCTTGTTTTCATCTTACACGTGGTGTGTGATCTGGTAGAGAAGCGTGTTACAGTCAGCCTGAAAGCTGAAAGCACACACTGATGAGTAATCAGCTGCTTGTGTAGGAAAGGCACTCTGAAATGTTTGCCATGAATGTTTAACACCAAGCAGCAGCTCTCAAAGCTCTTTCAGGGGGCAGAAGGGAGGCATCACCACCGGCCTGCAATCCTCACGCAAATGTCGAGGCAAGCTGACCTCTCCTTACCAAATTATTGACTTCATTTCCTGCCAACCACCAAACATCAACAGCCAGGAAAACACACCAAGCAATCTGCTTGAGAACAGGAAGGCAGCTTCTTTTAACCGAAGGTATTTAAACTTTAAAGACTGTAATTGTGAAACGTGTTAATAGATACCAACTGCCATGAAACAAATGGGGGTGTGATCTAAAATTATAAATCAATATAATTAGGTATTGTAACATATTCTATATATAATATAGTATAACATGTGCCATGCAAAATATAGTGTATTATAATATATAACGTACATAAAACTATGCATTATATATTATACAAGATATAATTTAGTCTAGTAAATTTTCTATATACACACTATATATAATATAGTATATTTTCTATATACACACTATAATATAGTATATTTTCTATATATAATCTATATTTTTATATATAAAAAGATGTAAAATTATATAAAATATGTATAATATACACGATAATATATAGTATGCTCAAATATATATATTATATAAATCTAAATATATATACACATATGTATATATACACATGTTCATGCATATATATGTACATGCGCACATATGTACATGCACATACATGTTCATGCAGATATATGTTCATGCATATACATACATACAAGTGTATATAGGTATATATTATATATATTTATATATAATTTTTCTGAATTAATATTATATACATTATATATATAATTTCAATATAAATTAACCTAAACAAGGCAGGGTCGCTCACCTTCCGCCCCGCCATCCCTGGCTGCCCGCGGCCGCTGTTCCGGGGCTCCGCCCGCCTGCAGCCGCTGCCCCGTGCGAGGCGGCGGGGCCCGGCCCTTGCCCTGCTCCGTGCCCCGCTCCCCGTGCCCGCCGTGCCCCGTCCCCCGCTCCCCGAGGAGGCCGCCCCGGCCCCAGCCCCGGCCCCGGCCCCGGCCCCGGCGCGGCGCGGGCCGCCCCCTCCGCTCCCTCCATGGCGCTCGAACGGCCCGCGCTCCCCGCGCCTTCCGGGCCGCGGCGCCTGCGCACACGGGCGGCACCGCCCGCCCCTCAGAGCGCCCCCCCCACACCACACAGACACGGCGACATCGCTCAAACTGGCAAACCAAAGCTTTATTTTTTTTTTATTATTTTTTTTAACTTCCTTTTTTTTTTTTTTTTTCCCGTTTGTTTGTTTAAAGTCTTTGCTACAGTACCTAGGACTGCACCCCTATACATAATTAACAATCATTCCTGAAAGATCTGTATTTGGCACCAGTTTGTGTTTAGCTCAAAACACTTGTGGGGAGGATTAATTTCAAATCAAATTTGGTTGGGTTGGTTGTTTTTTTTTTCTTCCAACAGAATAGGAGCTGCCATCATGAAGCCAATTAGCTGAGTTATTGGAGAAGCTTAAAAAAACAAAACAAAACAAAACAAAGTCCTTATCTTAACCAACACATTACAGAGAGCTCCAAAACAGAGGTCAAACATTAAAAGGCTGATATAGGCTCAAGTGGTTTATAAAACCTATAAAAAAAGACTACACCAGCACATATGCCCTTTCAGTCCACGCAGTTTAGAAATTAACACAGGGAGCAACTCGCTAGCTGGAAATCTTGTCATGGGAGAACCACAAATATACCAACAGGACTACCCAAAATCAAATGTTAAAATGCTCCAATTCCCAATCCACATAAAAGGAGAGAGCTTCGTAGGAAGATTAAGTCAATCCATGGTATCATAATTGGTTGGGCAGTTCAAAACTTCCCCCAGCAACCACTTTGTCACTCATACACACAGGCTCACATGTACACGGCTCAATCCCATTCAAATTCCTCATGGAATAAAACGATCCCAGGCTCTATTGAGTCTTTCCCTATCATGCAAGAAATAAGTCTGGCTGTGCTTTAATCACCATCATGTGTTACTTCAGCCACAGAGTACCAGGCGGATTAAGTAGAAATGCACAGTTTTTAGCTCGCTGTCTCTGCACAAGTGTCGGAGAGGCTCAGATCCTGGAGAATTCCGGGTGGGCACGGGCAGTCTCCCTTCATGCAGACTCACTGGCCTCCACTGGCTTGATCATGTGGTCAGGTTTGTTGCCTGCAGCGTAGTGATCCCACATCTGGAGGTAGAGCCGCTCCAGGTCCGTCGTGTACTGCTTCGTGTTGAACAAAGGGCTCGATATCCTCTGCTTCCACACTTTGCCACGGATTTTTTTCAGGCTGCAAAGAGTGAGAAAGCGGTCGTGGGAGGTTCCAAACACTACATAATACTGGTTTAGTTCTGCCATCTACTGTTTTCAGCTAACCCAGAACTGCCTGCACAACTGTTTCAGAAACAGCTGCTCCCCCACCGTTTCATCCCCTCATCATTTCTGACGCAGACCAGCACAACCACTTCAACTCACAAGAGCTGGGACATGAACTTGCTGCATTATCTCTACTGCAGAAATATTTTACAGCGTGATTTTAACTTGGAGTCAGTGACAAACTGCCTGATCTTCAATTTAAAAAGAATTAAAGGTGAACTGTATTGCACTTCTTAAAATTTTGCACATTTCTTCAGAGCGGGCAGCATTTTAACTCAACTGGGAGCGATGTTAAGTTACTGTAAAAGCTGAATTAAGTGCAAGACAAGACACCTCTAGTAGAGGACTGCCCAGCTACTTTAAACAGTAAAATATCTGCAGTATTAAAACTACTGCTGTCTCAGCACTGTGCCCAAACACAGTATTTTACAACCTTGATGTTACCACATTACGTAGCCCAAGTTTACTTACTATTCCAGGTCAGTTCCCAGTTTCACAGCAATGTCCTCATACTCCTGTCTACTCTTTGCAATGAGCTCCAGACAACCCAGGCAAGTGAGCTGTGAGGCAGCGACTCGTGAGGCAAGAGTCTCTCCTGAGCAGAAGAAAATAAAAGAGCAAATCAAACCCAACCAAAACAATCAGGAATAAGTTTATTAAGTAACATATTCCACACAATGAGTTGCTTTCCTTCTGCCTCCACTAAAGGCAAAGTTTGTTTGCTGTCATTAAAAAATTAACCAATATTCCAACCCACGTGTTCAGTGCAGGTCTCCTGCCTCTTACCTGGCATGGTGACCATTGGAGTGCCAGCCCAGAGCACGTCCATGCCCGTTGTGTGCCCGTTACAGAGCGGAGTGTCCAGGCAAACATCAGCCAACTGCCCTCTCCTCACGTGCTCTTCTTTGGGGGCAACAGGCGAGAAGATGATTCTGTTTTGGGCCAGACCCAAGTTTTGTGCGTACTGCTGAATATTGGGCTCTCCCACAGCTGGGAAACGCAGCAGCCACAGCACACTGTTTGGGACTCTTTTTAGGATCTGTAACAAAAATAAGCAGCAAATACAGGAAGCTCAGAGAGGAACATTTACTTTTCTGAACAAGGAATTACCACACACCCAACTGCAGTGGAAGACATAGTCATTCATTAATCTTCTGGGGTATAAGAGCAGGAATAAAACAGAGCATAATTTTTAATGGAATCACTAGGACTGCATTCCTAGTCCCACTGGAAGAGACAGCAACTCTGAGCAACAGTTCATAGGGCATTACTTGCAGTAAGTCTCAAAATTTATTATCTCATTTATTCATAGGCCAATGCTATGGAATATAAAAAAACATTACCCCCAAGTAACTCTCAGCAGTACACTGTAAGCTGGAACCTCTCAGCTCAGATCTATCAATCTACCAACTGCCGAGGCCAGTTATGACTTAATTGTAGAGACTAAGGAAGACCAAAATTATTACACAGTGGAGAACCAGCACGCTCAAGCTGTCCAAGACATAAGTTCTCACTGGCTATATGCACAGACCTCATTTGAAATAAATCTAAAAAATTCTATATTCTACTAGGCCCTGCAACAAAAGCACTGTAAGGATTCAAAACGGCTCAGGGTCAACATTTTCCACGGAAAAGTTTCTGGTAACCTGCCCAGAAGTGCTGTTCCAAAAGCCTGCCCTCAGACTGCATATCAGCCCCAGATACTCACATTAGCCCACATCTGTAAGGTGGAAGGATCGATCTTGTACAGCTGGTTGAAGTTGCAGTACACGACAGCATCCTCTGGCAGGCCGTACTGAGAGCGGGTGGTCACAATTATAGTCCGGGGAACTTCTTCACCAGTGGCTGCTTTGTTGTTGATCTAAAGGAATGAAAAACAGCTACTGAAACGCTGAACTCTGAGGAAACGAGAGCATTCCCTGTGGAATTGTCCTGAGACACTGCAACATTTGTTAGCATCATAAGTTACTGTAAGCATATCTTTGGGTTTATTATACAAAACAAAATTGTCTACTTACCCACAGCAAGAATTTAACTGGTTTGTGTACACGCTTGTGGATGCCACAATGTTGCAACCACCAAGGCAAAAAACACTGGGCATTTTCATGCCCTTCCTATATCTCCCCGAAATTCCAAGTAACTGGAATAATTGGAAAGAAGAATCATATAAAGAGGCATTACAAATGGAATCTACCCTCCTTAAGGTAACTTAATTTCTGTGAGACCAAAAATGAAATTAAAACTTAAAGACAGAATTAAAAAGCAAAGTTGGTTTTCGGTTTGTTTGGATTTTTGTGGTTTATTTTTGGGTGGGTTCTGTTTGGGGTTTTTTGGGGTGGTGGGTTTTGTTTTTTTTTTTTAAGATAAAAGACAACAGGCACAGAACAGATAGTCAAGACTAAAGATACAGACTCATATGCAACTGATGGACTGTAAGGAACTATCTGACAAGAAAATAATGAAAATGCTAAAAATTAGAGGCATTAACAACAGACTTTCAAGAAAGCACAGATCTTACAGCCTTCACAAAGAATAGGAATATGCTAATAAAAAACACTAGAGGATGAAGATGGGATAATCAAAATACCATGCAAGAGTCTTGAGGATTAGTAAAATGGAAGCGTGATTTTTAATTTTTTTTTTTTAATAATGACATGCAATGATGGCATCAAAACCAGATAAAAACATTGGTAGAGAAAGGGCAACACAGCTACTTGGAGCCTTTTTCTCTAAATACCTATTTTCCATATGTATGTATTTAAAATTTAGAGCAGTGGCAGTGCAGGCAGCCACTGATGACACACCTGATGGGAATGACAATGACTCACTGTCACTGACTCCATTAGGAGATGCACGTGATAACTTAGTTCAACAGAAGCTGGTAAAAGTGCTCAGCTCTTGTCCACCTATGCCAAAAAGCAGCTGACAGCAGCACAAAGAAGTGTTACATTAGTGTGACAATGACAGAAATCCTGTTGAAGAGTGCAGAGACAGAGCTTACAGTGTTTTGTTGCTGTGGTGGAGTGTTAGGACAAGAATTCTCTATGAGGACAACAACTTCAGAAATAAATGCCAATAAACTTCCTGACCAAACTAAGACATGACATATTATCAACTCAAAAGAAAGGCTCAGTTGGGAACAAAAGAACTCCAAAAGAAACCAAGGCAGGAGGTTATGGATAGAGCAGCAGTAATAAAAGGGCTCATAAAATGATGTCAAATGATGTCTCTCCTGAGAGACTAAACTGAGTAGCACACACAAGATAATGAGTTATGCCAGTGTCAGAACAGGGTATTTCTAAAAAGGGAGAACTGTTCTGCAATGGACCAAGTGTTAAACAATACCAGGAGCTGTCACTAAAATCCCATTAACTGTTAAGCACTGAGAGGTGGTGATGCAGTGCACGGTTCTGAAAAATGTAAGGAGATGAATAAATGTTGTTGAGATACAGTGGAATAACTCTGCCTCTATTCTGTTACTCATCAACTTTTTTTAAAAGGAAAAACACAACTGAAACCGAGTAAGAGGTCACAGATCCCTGCGGGCTGCAGGGCAAAAGGTAAATCTTGCCTTCAAACAACCAAGTGTCGTCTTTATGCAACATGAATGAATTTTTCTGGACTTTAGATACCTCTAGATACAATTCCTGTATCTCTGGGGGGGAAAGATCATCTTCCAGTACATCTGTGGCTTATAATGAGCTTTCTTCAACATGAGAACTAAACAAATCAACATGATAGAAGACACATTTGCTTGGAGGTCTTTCTTTCTTGTCATATTAAAACATATATAACATAAAATGCAAGAGAACAGTGTCTTGAAGTGCCTCACCTGAGTAGTTGCTAATCCATTACTGATGTTGAATCCATTGATAGTAATCTGGATTTGCCCACGATTAATCATCTCAATAACAGCTTCTGCAATGGTGTTCATGGGGATGACTGGCATGCTGAGGGCGGCATTGCCATCGGCATTTTCACAGCTGTCAGGACACTTCATCTACAACACATCACACAAGTGTCAGACTGCACACAGAAACGTGGGACTTCAGTCCCTAACACTGAACACAGACAGGAGCAGCTCTCACCTTAACGATTTTGACATCAGGGAGGCTGTCAAGGAAAGCCTTCAGGTCAATGCCATTCAAAACAATCCTGTTGTCATAAATATGACCATTGGACTTGAAATCAATGACTGCTTTTTTCTGTTAAAAAAAAAAAAGTATTTAAAAAAGTTAAATCCTCAAGCAGGTACCATATGAGAGCCATTTTATAAAGACAGTTGTGACAAATGGTTCTTGCCCCATCTTCCAACGTACCTTGAGATGGGGGAACATGTTGGCGTGGTCTCCAATGAAGAAAGTGTTTGGCATGTAAGCTAATTTCTCTGAATACTGCTCAGCCACCTCAACTGGGGAAGTTTCTTTATCTGTGATGATGTAATCCATGAACAATGCCCCACTGGTGCCAGGATACCCTAGCCACATTGCCTAAAAAACAAGCAAGCAAGGCTGCAGTTTCAGGTGCGTCGCGAAAATAAAGAAGTTTAAAAATCAGTGAATTTTAAGTTCCATTTTCCACCTGCAGATTCGAGTTCCTCCTTCTGCTTTGTCAACTGAGTATCAACCACTAACTCCAAACTTCAGAACAGTCCAAGGATGTTCTAAAATTGATCCCTCAAGCAAAAGCTGAAGGATCCAGAACACCGACCATCAGCAATTACAGCTCCTCTGAGCTGAGACAGTTCCTGGAATCTAGGCTGACTCCAATTCAGGTTATTCCCATTCTCCTTCCATAGGCATTTTAGAAAATCCTTACTCTATAAAAGGAACTCTGATTCTGATTTATGGTAACTAGAATTTCATTGAAGAGATTAAAACCCAACAACTCAATCAATTGCTTCAAATACCCTTTGTTTGTTTTCACTCCAGCAAGACAGGCAGTGGTACAGAAACATCCTATAATTAAGGAGTCCTCTCTCAGGACATTGTCAATTGTCCATAAAGCACACAGAAAAGCCCCAAACTGGTGTTCTTAAACGGAATGATAATATCTGTCTTGCATATTCTAAGCCCCAAGTCTCTCTTGCCTACTAACCAATATGAGCCTTCAACATGCATTCCATCCTACCAGAAAAAGAGCAACTCTTTGTGCTCAGGTGGTTTTTTTGGAGATACAGAGCCCTGTGATTTAGTTACCTGAATAGGTGCTGGTCTCAGGGCAAATAATTCATTTCGGGCTCCTTTGGTGTAGCCATTCATGTTAATGAGAATGTGGATCCCATCCTGATGGATGCGATCTGCTGCTTTGCCATTACATGGTATCTGAGGAATAAGCAAATACATAAATTTAAAGTTCTTTCTGTTTCCAGTCTTTCAGTAATAAATGTGGTTAGTCACCAGAGTACCAATGGAGAGATGTCAAGGCTTTAACACCAAAACATCGACAAATTCCACATCATCCTATTTCAAGAAATGATTGCAACTAAAAATCTCAGAAGTACAGGCTGATCTCTTTCTTCATTTAGAAGAATTTAAATTTACATCAAGAACAGCTCACCTGAGATAAGTCAATGAAATGATTTGCTTCAGCCATCACTTTTACACGGAAGTTTGTCCCATCATCAGGGCTCAGGGCATAACAGAACACCTAGAACAGGAGGCATCAAAAATTCAGCATCTGCAGCAACCTGCTCACAAAATAACTGTGCTATAAAACACACGGTATTGCAACTTCAAATTGTATCTAGTTTCATACAAATCATATTAATTTTGTGTGGCATTTGCCAGTTGAGAAAGAAGAATTTTTTTGACACACTTGAACCAGGGCCCAGTTTCACCTAGTTCTGCACCCTGCACAAACACACAGACATTGTTCTCAGCAGTACAAGGGAGAGTCATTTTAACACAGAGAAAGATTTGCATAAGCATTGAATTCTTTAAGAATGCCTTCTACAGGACACCTTTGAATGTTTAATTAGTCAGAATCATAATTATGACTCAGGTTGAACAGACAAGCCTTGTGGGGAAGGTTTTTAACAGTGACTAATTCTCCCAATTAACGAACTGCAACTGTATCTGAAAAACAGACAGTTGACAGATTATATGAAAGAGCATCTTCAACCAACCTAGGACAGACAGACAGAACAAACAGCAATATGCAAAGAACTCACCATGCAAGATAAAGCCATGGTCTTAGTAAAACAATACATAACTATTTAGTATTTTAATTAAGCTCTGTAGAGCTTTATAAACCTATAACATGAAAGACAGGCCTCTGTCTTGAGCTGACTCAAGGTTAAATGGGACATTCTCCCCCCACTTCTTGTATTCAGACCACTAATTTAATTCTTCCAGGAAAAACACCCACACAATTCAATCCTGTGGCCCTGTCACAAAAAAATTTCAGACTGAAGGTTTTATGACCAGAAAAAAGCAAGAAGGTAGGGGAAAAAAGTTCCATAACAGAACAAACAAAGAGATTAACAAAAACACTTTTGCAAGAAGAAAATACTTAAAACCCTTTACAAAAATAAGCAAATTTGTATGACTTGGAAAACAGGAGGCAATTTAGACAGTCATGTCTAAAAAACAGGCAATTTAGAAATGAGAAAAAACGGAGGCAATTTAGTCATGGGACAAACAACGTAACTGGAAATGAGTTCTATTTACAGACTCAATTCCTTAACACGACACCCACATAAATACAGACATGATTGTGTTCAGTTTTACTAAGCTGTATATTCTCCTTCTGCAGAAAGCATAGGGTGTCACTGTCCTTTGAAAAAGAGGTAACCAGACCAATCTGAAGTTCACATTTGTGACTCAGGTACCCTAGAGAAAAATGCACTTAAAAAACACAGCAGCAGAGTGAACAAAAACCAGGTGCAGAACTGTAAATTGAGCAATCAGGCAGCAGCACCTTGATGCCACTGACAGTCATATTTAAAGCTTTAAACCTGCCATTTGTGTTTTTTTACCTCGAATTTGTCTGGGTTATGCATGCCTGGAATGGACTGCATTAGGTGTGAGGTGGGATGGTTTCCAAAATCAGAGCTCACGTAGCCAATACGAAGTCGACCTTCACTGGCCTTCAAATCCTTGGGGTGCTCATATGGTGGCTTGTGAAGAACATTAATCTGGCAAGAAAACAAAGACAAATGGTTACAAACTCAGGAACCAAAACCAAAATCTGAAGAGAGGGACCAAAAAGCCCCTTTGAGTTTGCAGAATTAACTTCATTACACGAAGTCCTCCAAAGCAGAATCACAACAAATACTCAAGGACTGTCGTGCCTTGCCCCAAGAGCCCATCAAACACAAAAGCTCTTCACTGCAGGCAAGATCAGCTTCCAAGCACTGTGGATGCTGGAAATGAACAATCAATACTCTGACAGAGCTGCCTGAAACTGCTCTCAGGGAAGGGTAATTTATTCCCTCTGTTTTTCAAAAATGCCCCTCCTGTACTTTGGAAAACATGATGAGCAACACTTGGTCCCATCTCTTTACATGTCAGTGACTCAGAAAGCTCACAAGAGTTAATATTATGTTAGTATTTAATTTTGAGCAGGAACAGGCAAAGCCACAAAGCACTTCAATCACAATGGGCCTGTATAAAGCTTCCTACCTTGTCCAAACACAGATTTCCATGTCTCTCAGCAATAGCCTTCCTAAAACTGTGAGAAAGGGGATACAGCATGCTGTGATGTGGGTGGACAGAAGGCAGTCTGTTTTTCTCCAGTTGATCAGCTACAATGCTAACCAGCTTCTTCATCCTTTCATCATAATCTGTCCAGTCACAGACAATCTAAAAAAAAGGAAAAATTTAAAGAATATTAGGACTACAGCTTCCTTTTATCTGTATCAGATATTTCAGAGGTTGAGACTAATGTTTTGTCCAAAAATGGCAGTGAGAACTTCAGTAGTTACTGTTGAGAACTGTATAATCTTATCTTCTGATTTAAGACTTAAGTCTAACCCTTTTACATTTAAATTAGTAACTGATTCATGTGATCGAGCTCAGCATCTGCTGCAGAGGAATCCTAAGAATTACAGCCAAAGCCCCATCTCCCTCACCTGCAAACAGTGGGCCAGGTTGCAATAGGCATCTGGGAAATCAGGTTTCAGTTTCAGAGCGGTTCTGTAAGAGGCGATGGCTTCTGGTATATTCCCTGAATCCTGCAAACGCACAGAGATGAGTCAGCAGGTAAAAATATCCTCAGGGTAGCAACTCACAGGGCCCCACCACACTTTTCTAGGAGTGAATCATTCGCATGTGCTACCTTGTGAATCGAGGCCAGGTTGCTGTGGGCATCAGCAAAAGCTGGGTTTATCTGAATGGCACGGGTGTAGCACTGCAGAGCTCCCTGGACATCCTGCATCTCCTTCAGAGTGTTTCCCATGTTAGAATAAGCATCTGCAAACGTGGGGCTGATTCTGAGAAGTAAAAAATAATATGAACAAGAAAAGCTCCCTCTCCAACAAGGAACCATACCCAGACTTTTTGCTTTGCAGAGCAACCACTTGAATTAAACCATGCCACTGTAAGTCACTTTCTGTACAAATTTGGTGCACTTTCCTGTTAGGAATGGTTGGGACTATTACAGATATCCATTTACCTAATGGCCTCCTTGTAATGCATCAGAGCCTCCTGTAGCTTTCCCTGCTGTTGCAGGACACTTGCTAAGTTTGAATGTGCAGCAGCAAACTCTGGAAACACCTGCAATAAAAAGGTGACATTGTCTCTCAAACGCCACGAGCAGACCACAACAAAAACACTTGTCCAGTTATTACTCTTCTTCTTTATACACATATTTAATATATCTTCTCACATTTTTTTCTAACTCAGGTCTCCCAAGCAGGAATTCCTCTACTTAGGAGCGCAGAGGGATAAAACCCCGATGTCCTATCCCACATTCCCAGCTGGGGTTCCCCAGCTCTCCCTCACACGTGGCTTTACCTCGAGAGCCTTCCGATAGAGCCGGACGGCTTCCTCGATGTTGCCCTGCTCCCGTTTGATGTTTGCCAGGTTGTTGAGAGAGTCTGCGTGGGTGGGGCAAAGTCGAAGAGCTGTGTTGTAGCATTCTTCTGCTTCTACCACCTTCAAAAAAAGGCATGCAGTTACAATGGTAACACTTCTTCCAAGAGCCCTGTCTGTGAGATGTCACCATACAATCAAGGCTCAAGGTGAAGATTTCCTGAATTATTCTTCTTTCTAAGTAAATGAGGATAACACCCCACCTTAATAAAGCTGGTGACAGCAGGTGCCTAAAAAAAACCCCTTCACTGCGATTTTAGAAAGGAAGAAAGTGCTCCTTACACTGCCTTTCTCCTTCAAGGCATTGGCCAGGTTGCAGTAGGCATCAGGGAAGTGGGGCTGCAGCTCAATAGCCCTCCTGTAGGTGTCTATTGCCAGGTCTATCAGGCCCTGCTCGTAGTACACGCAGGCAAGGTTGCCGTGCACCACAGCGTGGTTGGGACTCAGACTCAAGGCTCGGAGATAAGCTGCTACAGCTCTGGAACAAACAGATAACAAAGGGAATGTCAACAGCCATCCACAGAGCAGAGAGTATATTAATTATACTGCCCTTGTTACAAAAACGACCTCCAGAAAAGCCCCCAACTTGAAGGGGTATTGATCGTTACCACACATATCCATCCTGTTAAGATGTTAATAAAAACACAGAGTACTGTCTGAATTAAAAGCTTGATCACGGGAAGAATGATCCTTTTTCACGGTATTTTCAAGCTAGGCTGAATTCTGTAATGATTAACAGACTAGAAGAAATGCCTGGTAAAACAGGAATGTCTTCCTCCAACTTGATGCTGCACAGTGAACAACGCAAGTCTTCAGGAAAACGAATTTTCATCTACTCCTTTTAAACATTCTTCATTACTAGGAAAAACTTTTCTTCTTTTGCTCCATTTTTTCCCAGTTTATTATTTGACTATGACAAGATAAACAGTATCATGTCTTTATTCGCTGCACTAACCTACCATGATTTACTGAGACTTCACACAACACTTTGTTTGAAGGTGAAATCTTTAATTATATGCTCCTATAGCACTACATAAATGGCTGAAGTATTCAAATTTCTAAGATAATTATAACAGTATATGTAGTAAGTAAATGCTCAAAAGGTGATGTAAAATCTCAAGTGAAGAAACACGCCCCTGTTTGGCCCATTAATTTGCGGTTACATCAGAAATCACTGAATGATTTAGGCTGCGTGCAATGCAACTAAACAGAATTAATCAGCCTGTTCCCTGCAAGCTCGTATTAAATTTGGGGCCACAAACCACAGCTACCAGAAATTATAAACCAATTAACAGATGCAATATGGCACATTGCATGTAAACAACACAGCCTGGATCCCTCTCCATAAACAGGAGACTGAAGTATCAGATTAGAGGTCTCAGAACAAGTCAGTTCAACAAGACAGCAGCAGTGCTGCAACCCAAGGCAGTAACACGATGCCAACACGTCACAAACACAGAATATTCAATCAGATGCTGAGCTGTATTCCAGCATTACAGTTTGTCTTACATAGTAGGGAAGTTTTGGAAGGGACACACTTGTAAATCGTGTCCTGAATCACATAATGAAAACAGAATTCAAGCATTCGTGCCTTTCTGGGACACCTTAACCCTCCCCAGCCTTAATTTCAAGGCTGAATCAGAAACTCTCACTTTTGACAACATACTAACTATAAAAAGCAACATGAAAGAATACATTCCACAGATTTTTTTGTATTTTTCTTCAATTCCAGTAGCCTGGTCTGTCTGCACTTCAAAGCCATTTGCTTGCTCAGCTTACAGCTGAAGTCTTTGCTACCCCTGTCTAAAGACACTTTACAGGAGGAACACGATCTGCATCTTGATACATCTGACAGGTTACTGAGAGAGCAACAGCACTGATCTGCTTACCTGTCAAATATCCTGGCCTCCTTCAGAACATTTCCCAGATTGATGTAAGCATCCAAAAAATTTGGGTCAAGTGTAACAGCCTGAAAATATTTTTCAAGTAACAGTTTTGAGCATTAACACAAGAACATCCTCTATGAAACTCAGTTGTTTGTTGTTGTTTTTTTTTTTTTTAATTTGATAAACACAATCTGTAAGCATCTAAGACTTCATCAATAACCTAGTAAGGAGGAAAAACTTATTCACACCATTTATCTACTGCAAAGTAAGACAGCATTTTAAAACTTTAGCAGTGCAGAAAAACAGAGACAAGTTTCACAAGAACAAGAGCAGATACATCATGTGTGCAGGGAAGATTCTGCACCCCTTTAACTAAAACATTTTCACTCCCTTCAAAACTATAAAATGCAATAAAAGCACTTAAGAACTGATGAAGTTACCAAAGCTGCAGTACAAAGTTACAGGTATCTGTAACAAGCCCGACTTGTACAGTCTGATGGGAACTATTAATTCCACATTAAAACACTTCATCATCTATCATGAACAGATCCAAAAAAAATAAAAACCCTGAGCAGCTAAAATTTTTTTGTCAATCTTAAGTCATAAATATCAGGAAATAACTGTTGCCACATCTTAAATTCAATTTTAGGGGACTTCAGAAACTTAAGAGATCAGTACAAAATGAATTAATAGGCCAATTAGATATTAACTGGAAGGTATCAGACAACTAGTTAATGACATCAACCTAGAAAAATCTGAATCAACAGTGGTGAAAAATAACCCTGGAGCAGAGGAATTCATGTGCCACTTAAACTGTTCTCAGTTACTCAAAGGACAGTAATACTTGAAACAAAAATGATAAAAGTGATTTTAAGCTCCAAGTTGTTTCTTCCTCTCACACATGAAACATGCAAAACATTATTACCATCACATCAGATTTTTAAAAAAATTAATCTAGGAAAGGACTGAAAATTTAATTTTCTCATATTTGACGTGTGTGAAGTCCCAGGGCAGTTCTAAATGTATTTCTCTGGTAGCATATAGGGAATTTGAAACATCAACAAGTAAAAAAAACGAGTTAACACAGGGTGTTAACCAACAGTTCTCCAAAATGCATTTATTATCTGCAAGCAGAGAACTACATGTACATTAAAACCCAGCAGAGAAGCTGAGACGCGCCCAGGTAGTTACCTTTTCAAAGTGATGAATCGCAAGCCAAATTTCTCCTTGGGCATTGAAAACACAGCCAAGATTACTCCAAGCCACTGCAAAGTTTGGTTGAGTCTCAATTGCTTTTAAGTAACAGGCCTTGGAATAGTTAAAGAAGAGAGATACAAGGGAAGGGGAATATTTGTAAAAAAAAAGAAAAAAAAAATGAGAGAAAACAATTGTTAGTATGCCTTCTCTAACCAGCCAAAAGTGACCCTGCAGTATAGGCTAGCTTGCGCCAAAACTAATGCGCTGCAAACTGTTGTTGATCCTGCGCCAGCGCAAACCAAAACCCAGGTGCAAGCCCACCATTTTTCAGTTATGCTGAGAACAAAAGAAACGTTCCTTCAGGCACCAGGTCGCCACAGAAATCGCCTCGGCGATAATTCCAGCGGTTCACCGGGAACATCTGCCGCCTTGAAGCGCGTAAAAAAATAAAAAAAAAAAATTACCAAGTAAAAAAAACCACCAAAGCTCGGGAGCAAAATTGTGAAATAGGACAGAAATTACTCTGGGGGGAAAAAAAAAAAATCAGAAAAAAAAAATACTAAAAAAGGTAGAGGCACTCCACAGTTTTAAGTGTTGACACTCCCGACCCATGTCTTGTTTCCCGGTTTCTCCGGATGCATTTTTAGTCACCTGCAGCTTCCAAACCTCAAATGACAGGATTGCATGAAGGTTTAGGTCCCTGTAATGCAAGCGCAAGAAATCGCTGCGCATCCTACCCAGCACGGCGCCACGCTATCGCTGCGAACTGCTTGGCTCTAGTGGTGGCCCCAAGGTGCAGTGAACGGCCAGCCGGAACCATTAATCTCCCAGGCAGGCCCACACAAAACACTCTGCTCGTTAAAATTTGGCGTCTGCGCTCCTTAAAAAAAAACGCGTCAGAACCCAATTCCATCCAAAAGGCCGCAGCCTGGAGCTCGGGCGGCCGCCCGATCCGAGATTAATCATCCAGCCAACCGTTCACGGGGGCTGTAATCGCACGCAATGCGCGTTACCGCTGCGCAGCCTTTGCGCTACTGCAGGATCACAGCGCATCATCAGAAGAGCAGAACGCTGCAATCCAAACAAAGAAGAAAAAAGGAAAAAAATGAACAACCAGAAGAGTTAGAAGCTTTTTTTTTTTTTTTTTTTTTTTAACTATTAACTATCTCCAATTATTTCTTTAAAAAATATTTTAATTTACTTTTACTTTATTTCTTTGATAGAATTTGTGGCTAATAGTATAAAATATTCTTACATTACTTGCTCGTAATTAAATATTTTAAGCTGTTTCTGAAGCCACAAGACAGAAGATTCAGGCATGGAGGCAAATGGTTTTGCTGTGGCAGTTACAAACCCGTTACCATATTTCTCATCATGTGACTTTTCGGTGCGTTCCTTGCTGGAAGAGGAGGAGGAGGTGTGTGTCTGCCCTAGATCCAGGCCTCGAGCTCCCTTCAGCGAGGCACCTTACGCATGGAATAGGAGGTTTCACCCACCTGAAACCTTCTAAATACAATATCAGTGGTGAAAAACCAAAAACAAGAGAGAAAATAAAACAAGATCATTAGTAAGAGTTCAACAAAGCAATTGCATTTTTTTGGATATGTCTTAACACATGGGAATGAGGATAATCTGTCTGTAACAAGGGAGACATGCAGAAGGGAGAGGGTTAATCGGGCAATTGCATACAGCAGGGACTTTTTTTTTTTTTTTTGGAAGAAAGGCTCTGAAATATCTACAAAGAAATTAAATTTTAGTTCAAACTGTAAGGAATCTGCTGGCTTGATCTTTCAAATGGACTGATAACCAAAGAAACACGTTGCAATTTACTCGAGATGTTTTTCCTCGTTTATTAAAGTTCTCACAAAACGGAATGTAACACTTTCAAACTAGGGTGTCTCCAGAGCTCTGAAACAAAGAAGTCAGCAACCTAAGGCAGGCGCAGTGTCTTGGCCTATACCAGTCACACTAAAGCTGCAGTGAAGTGCAATTCATGTTAGCTGTCCGCTTGGTGGGCCGAGAACCAAGTGTCTCAAAGACTGTTCAAATCCGACTGCTGCTACACCAATGGTTTCAACCTGGATCCGACCGAATCAATCCGGCTGCCCTAGGGACGGTTCACGCATCCAAGTTGTTCAGAGGAATCAAAGCAATATTGAACTTTGAGCCTGCGCTCCCCGTTACCCCAGCGAGGTGCCCCCCCCTCCCCCCAGGCGGTGCTGCAGCCAAACAGACAGCTACGCTGTTCATACACTCCACTTCTGAGCATGCGCGTGGGGCTTGGAGTGACCGACGTGGAGCCCAGAGGGGTTCTGATTTCTCCACACTCCTCACCCCGGCAGCGCGGACGCGTAAGGTGGCTTGTAACAAGACAAATTTCTTTCTGCGATCCGAATTTCAACGTGCCGAGGAATTTTCAAAAAACTCAATCTCGGGTGTTCGAATTCTCAAGTTTAGGAAACGCACGACTGCTAGAAGCCACCTTTCCACTACAGCAAGTTTTCTTTTGATCAGTTCATTTACCAAACAAACCAGCTTTGTCCTTCCGATTTCTTTATTTTGGGGGAGGGGAGAGGGAAGACATGAAGAAAAGATATTGGGGGGTGGGGGTAGGGGGGTGGTGTGTGTCGCATACTGCAGCTATTGATTATTTACTAGCCTTTCTTCCACTATCGAGGGAAGGGAAAAGTTAAAAGAATAAAAAAATCTTTAAAAGCCAATATTACAAGGTAACATTTGGATAAGTTTCTTCTCCACTTACAAGCCACAAAGGACTTTAGAAGAGCAGCATTTTCAATAGCACCTGCATCGTACAGGGGTCTGGAGCTAACCACAGGCTCTCTGCTTGGCACCAGCAGGCAAGCCTCAGATCTGAAGGATTGTTACTTATTTCCAGATGAAAGCATGATGGAGCCCCTGCCCAATACTTCAGAATGGTATCAGATAGTCTAGTTCAGCAGCAAGGCTTGGTAATTTTCCATTTCTTGACTTAAACCAACTTTTTAAACATGGACATGCCATATCTTGCCCTGCAACTACTCTGGGGTGTTTCAGTGCCTTCAGTTCTCAGCAGTTTCTCGGACTGTCTGTAGATCAACGCAGCTTTGAAGATTTGGTGCAAAGTTCAAGTGTTCAAAACACTGACGTTTACATGTATTCTACCCAACACCTACCTTGGCTTCTTCCAAGCGACCCAGGGCTTTGAGCAGGTTCCCCAGGTCACTACGAACACAGTACAAGTCCTGAAAAAAATCAAAGTCCCACATTCAGTTTCAGGACTTCACAGGGAACTTGCTAAGGAATGACCCAGTCCACTACAGCTTATTTTCAATTCTTAATAAATACATCACAAATGTGAATTGTTTTTCAAACGGCACACAATCTGACTGAATTTAGTACTGTAAAAATAAAGAATTAAAAAAGTAATCTCTCATACAAATCCTCTTTACACAGAAACAAAAAAGAAAACTATAAACAAACGCTCCCCCCAGCAGATTAAGTCCTTCTGCCGTATGTATTTACAGTCTCTTTTTTTCCTCCCCAAGCCATGACTTTAAAGCTCAACTCTTAAGATACACCATTACTGTTATGGCTTTTAAATAGATATATGAAGTGATTTTCCTTTCTGTATCCCTAAAGCAGTTTTTTCTCTGTGTTTTGCCCACTAATCCATCCATTCTCAACAGCTCTGCCACATGTTCTTGTTCTTTCATTTGTCTGAAATGAAAGCACAGGCTGTAATTGCATTATCTAGCAGTAAAGACCACAGAGAATGGAGACATTTTGTCAACATTGACAAAACAATTTTCTAACCTAAACAAAACTCAACTCTTGTAAAAAATCCACCATCTCACGTTATTTTAACCAGTGCATGAAATCGACTGGTCACACCATTTAGCATAATAAGGTAGACAAGTTCAGGTAAGGAAAAGAACACAGAGAAATAAGATTCTGAGCCTTTGCTGGACTGGGTTTGCATTTGCTTTTCCTCAGGGAAAATGACAGATGCACACCAGACCCATGCTGCATTTTTTAAGTACTTTTTGTCAAGATGTATGACAGAACAGCAAGCAGATACCTTCGACATGCTGAGAACTATAAAACCTTAATGGGAGCCCTGCCAAATGAGCAGAGGAAAGTAGTCCAGCACAACTTAACTAAAAACGTCAATTTGAAACAGTTACAACCAAAAATCCCAACACCAGATCAATCCTATAGGAGTCACTTACAGACAGATACTCAGTTTCAGCCAGTGAAACTTAAAAAGGATGCTTCTGTAAACCAGTCCACAATCAAAATCTAACACAGGAGATTCTCATCACCATGAAATCTCTGACTCTGGGCTAAAGTAATACCTGACAATTTTTCAAGATCTCACATTCATATCTGAGCATTAGTTGTCTCACTGTAATACCACCTTAAAGCACGCAAAGCTGAATATGAGGCCACTCCCTGAAACTTCTGACTTGAGAAAAAACAATTTCCTTGCTTTTCTGTTCTCTGAACAATACAGGTAAGTGTACAACAGCAGCCCTTACTGCAATACAAAACTCTCTGTGACAGCAGCCTTTCAAAGACCCTTAAGAAAAGTATCAATTAAATCACTGAGTTCATGGTGTACAGACTGGAAGGGTTATCATTTGTTCATTCTTCGAGAGCTGCTATTTTTGTGTCCTGGGACAGCAGTAAAAGATGGACTTGTATAGAATAAAGCATTACTTACAGGGTTGTACTGAAGGGCAGACACGTAGGCCTGTACTGCTCCTTCCATATCACCTGCAGCTACCAGTGCAGCAGCCAGATTGATATATCCATCAATGAAGTCTGGTTTGAGGCGCAGGGCGTGTCTGTAATGCTCAATGGCCTCCTGCAGCTGTCCACGCTCCTTGTACACATTGCCCAGGTTCGAATACGCTTCGGCCAACAGCGGGTTCTGTTTAATTGCCAAAGTGCTGAAGTGAGCAGACCTGGAGAAAATGAGGCAAGTTAGCAAAAAAAACCAAAAAAACACCCAAACCATAAAACAAACAAAAAAACCAAACAAACTCACCCTTGACATTCAGTGTTTTGTCTGTTTATCTAGTTAATCTAATGAACATTCCTGCTTAAGCAAGCCAAACACTCAGCCAACAAACCTGGACTTACAGTGCTGTCTTGTATGTTTATGCTCCCAGTTAAACTCTCATCTCCCTGGTTCCCATTTTAGATTTGACTGAACAAGGACAGCTCTCACTGACAGTCAGAGGGGTTCAAGTTGCTTCACCAAACCTGAGCTTAACACACTTGGAGAAAACACTACAGGAATCTTCTGAAGTCTCTTACAACAGATTTATGCTTTAAGCAACGTTCCCCTTGATACTCTTTTGAAGAAGCAGGGCACAGTTTACATGCACAATGCTGTTGTATCCTCACCCATTTCATTTTCCCACATCTGAGCTGTCATTACAGCATTGTATAAAACAGATCTAGCCAAAAATTCTTACTTCCTTCACCAGCAAACATGAACTTACAGCTAGAGCAAGTCAAGTTCAAAATGCTGGAGGTGCAGAAAGCAAGATCAGGAATGGGAAAGCAGGAAGAATATGGGGACAACTTTCAGATCACAAAACTCCTTTACTAACCATGTTGGTTTGCAACTTAAAAAACAAACAAACAAACAAACAAACAAAGCCCCAAACAAAATCTGAACTACAAACTTATACTGCAGGTGGAATGAACATTCAATCCTGCCAGCACACACAAGTGTGGCTGATGCCCTGATGTTCACAGGTACAACATTAAAATCATATGAGAATCCTGGCAAGGTCTGCTGTTTGTTATAAAAGCTGGCGAGTCCAACTTGTGTTTCTCTCTTACCATAACAAAACTGGGACAGGAAGAGCCCTACCTGTCCAGTCGGCGGCACTGGAAGTGAATGGATGAGAGTAGCAGAAGCACCCCGGTGTTATCAGGCTCCTGCCTCCAGAGCTGCATGCAGTGCCTCTCTGCTGCTTCAAAGTCTCCTGCCTGATACTCACGATGAGCCAACTCCGCTAACCCTTGGAAGGAAAGCATACGTTTCGTTGGTTCTGGAGAGTCACCAAAACATTTAGAGGGGGAAAACAAAAAGTTAGATGATGGGAACAAAACAAAAGCAAAAAAAAAAAACCAAAACAAAACAATGAAAAAATGTACACAAATGAAGGATGAAAATGTTTGAAATTATATAAAATACATGGCAGGTGACAGTTGGAGCTCCCAAGTCTTCATGCATATATTCCCTTTTACCAGGGAATTTCTAAAATTATCTGTACAGGTGCATGGCTCTGTCAGCTAATAATTCACAGACTGTAACGTCTGTGAATAAATATCTGTAAGTCAACCTTTTCCTTAATTCTGAAATACATTTAAAGAGACTCCTGTCATGATATTTTGGTTCTTTGGTACTCTGGTTCCTAACAGTGGAAGTGCTGCTACCAGAACAATGATTCTCACTCCCCCCCAAGACTGCAAATCCTATGCTTTGCAACGTTAAAAATAAGTTCTAACAACTTAATAGGGAAATGAAGGACAGGAAACAAAGACTTCAAAGGACTTAACAAAACAGTTGTGATGTAAGTACTGAAAGCCCTAAAAAAAAGAAAAAGGGGGGGGGGGAGGAAGTGGCTACCATTCCTTGAATCCTCCATACTCCTACACTTTCTCTAAGGAGTCAAATCCCTTCAAAGGGGAAAAAAACGGCCTTGGAACAATATCTGATGAGAGACAAACACACACTTCAATGATTATGCAACTGGCCTACAGGAGGAACCATTAAACAGGCAGGGTACAGGAAAGGAGTTACTGCTCCTGGAGGCTTAGCTGGAACAGGAGTGACAAAATGCTTTTAGTATTTAATGCCCAACTGTGGAGAACAAAATACTTAAATAAAACACCACCTGTTTTACACAGAACAACCTTAAGTGTGAAAAGTTAATTATTTCTTACAGAGTAAGATTTTTCATTAAAATACAGACAAGTGCAGCTTGGGAAAAAAACATAACCATTCATCCTAGAAAGAACAGTTGGCCTTCCAATTCAACTATTTACACCAACAGCTCTCACTATTAAAAGGTTTGATTACTGCAAGTATCTCTCATTTTCCCTCCCCAAGCCTGGCATATTCAGTACTTTGCAGTCACTGAATTCCCTTCATGAAGCACTTCCCACCTGGACCTACTGAGTTTTAAAATTCTGAATTTAAATGAGACATATAAATCTTTCCATTGTCTCTGTCAGTGGTAAATTGGAACTAGCAAAGCCACTCACTTAAGACACTTGACAAATTAGTGACCAAGTATCTTCATGCAGATTAGATTCCTGTTTTCTAGGAATCTATCAGAACAGTTTCCAAACCCTGAATAAGGGCAAAGTGGACTCCAGTGTCTGGTTAAACCTGATGGCAAAGAGATACAACTTTTATTCACCATGAGAACGTTGAATCATGGTTGCAAACCACACCATTTCTAAATGGTGCTGACAATAATAACGATACTGGAGCACCAACAGACTGTTCCTCATTCTGTCCTGCTGCTGTTACCAGGCTCGGCCCCTCTGGCACTGAGTGTATTTTCAAGTTCTGCTCGATGGCACAAACACAGGGAAACCGGATAAGAGGAGGAAAAGCATATCTCATGAACTTAATAATTTCCTCTTAAAATACATTTCTATTGTGTCATCAAATTTCAAAGCTAAAAGCAAACAAACAAACAAAACCAACCACCACCAAAAGTTTACACTCCGAAACTCATGACCACTTGGAAACAAGTTTCCAACCATTACCTAAATGCTACATTTTTCCTACTTTAAGCAAGTGAAAGTCAAACTAAAGTTGTAGCTCCCAGGGTAGGAAAGCAGGTGGTGCAGAAATATTGTACTTAACACCTTGGAATGAGAGCTGCTAACAAAAGCAACAAAGCCAGAGAAACACTAACATGTTCTTTCATTCATCATCTGCCTCTATTTACAAAAACCCCACAGACAGAGCAAACTCGGTGTAAAATTGCCGGTAATCTACCCCCAAGGGAGGGTGTTAAGAACAATCCTCAAGTCCACTGAAAAGCAGGAAGGTTAACAGGCACACCACAAAGTTCCGAAAGAGCTCAACTTTTAACAGAGGCTGGAAGCAAAGCTATGCAATGCAAAGTACCCGTAACACAGCCCATCAACGGATGCTCAGTGAAACAATTCCTAAAGAAAAGAACCGCATCGAAAAAGAGTCACAGCCAGGAAAACCCCTGATGGGAGTCCTGCATAAATGAATGTCTGTACCTGGGCTAACTCGTGCTGCGTGCTTCGACTGTGACCTTGGAAAAGTCTAGCACATGCTGCGACAATGACCTTCCCTGAGGCTTCCAGAGAACACAAGCAAAACAAAAACCTGCACACAACCACCACAAACACACCTAAGGCCATTTCCCCTCGGAGAAACACGGTCCTAAACACTTGCCGCATCCTCTTGCTCAAGCTTAGGTTTAGATGCAATCCAGGTCCCCAAGGAGCAGTGTCACCTCCCCGCGGGAGGCGGTGAGGATGAGCACAGGGCTCTCCCCCACGTGTCGCTCACACCTGCACAGATCCAGGCTACCTAAGGATGCTGCAGCCTCGCTGACCAGACACACACAGTCCTGGCTAAAGAGCAGCAAAACACCGTATTGCAGCATCTTCTCATGTCACTGCCATCTTCACAGCCCTATCTCTGCACTGGATCCCGTCTCTTTTCTCCAGAAATCCTCCTTTCCCCAGACATCGTTTCAGCTTTCCATACTCCTCCTCCTGTCTGGTTACAGAAAGCCCCAAAAATCTGGGGGATGAAGTTGTGTTGTCCTTTCAGCCTTTCAGTAAGCATAACATTTCTTTTTCTTGGTGTACAAACTCAGATTCCTCCTCTTCTCCGTCCCTCAAGTTCTACATCTGTAAACTAAATTTAGGGCAGGATCCCTCATAGCTTCAACACGCTATCTCATGGTTCAGGAATCATAGAATCACAGAACGTGACTGGCTTGGAAGTGACCTTAAAACATCATCTCGCTCCAATTCCACTGCCGTGGGCAAGGATCAGTGGACCTTCCACTAGATCAGGCTGCTGAGGAAACTCCCGCTTGAGCGCAGCGAGCGATTCTGAAGAACCCATCACACATTTTGGGTCAGGCTTTCTACCCTGCTTCGCCCTCTAACGCAGTCACCTGATGGTGTGATATAAATACAACACCTCCCCGGCAGCTCCCCGCGCCGCCCCGGCAGTGGCTCCCGGGCTGCCCACGGGCAGCGCCCACCGCGGGCCGCGCTCGGGCCCCTCCGCCCGGGGCACCCGCATGGACCCGCACAAAGGCGGTGGTGGAACAGCCACGGCCTCGCCGCTTCTGGAAAGTTCCGCCGGGCGAGCGGGGAGCGGCCCCGGGGGCGAGGGCACGGCCCGGCCATGGCTGCCCGTCCGCGCGGAGGGGGTGGGGGCGAGGCATCCCACGGTACCTGTGCTGTCCGCCACGTTCCCCACGGAGGTCGCCATCGGGACGGGGGCCGGCGGGGCTGTGGCGGCGGCAGAAGGAGAGCTCGGGCGGGCCGAGCTGCCCGCGGTCGCGGCGCGCTGAGGCGGCGGACCCGAAATGGCGGCGGCGGCGGTGCCGAATGGCCGCGGCCGGGACTATCTCCGGGCCAAATAGTCCGGGCGGCGCCGGGGCGGAGCGGCCGGGAGGCGCAGCGGAGGGATCGATGGAGCTGTGTGCAGCCAGCACGGGTATCCCTCCGCGCGGAGCGCTGCGCCAAAGGCGGCGGGACTGCGCGTGCGCCGCCGCCACCCCCCTCAGGCAGCGGCACCGCCACACGTGGGCCCGGACACCGGGACCGGAGCCCTGAGGGGACACCGGGGACCACCGAGGCATCACAGCCCCCCAGGACACCACAGTTTACGGGGGACAGCGGAGCCCATGGGGACACCAGGGGTTATGCGGGCATCAGAGGTTAAAAGGCACACCAGAGGTTACGGGGACACCGGAGCCCACCGGGGCCATCAGAGCTCAGGGGACACCTGCACTCCCTCACCGGGGCGCAGAGGGACGGCAGCAGAAGCGTCTGTGCCCCAGTTCAGGGTGTATTTCCATGGGCTCTGCCAGCGACACCACCGGGACTCCACACACAGCCCCGCGGTCTGCACGTGCTTGCCCGGCTGGCTGAAAGTGAGGGGTCTGCGGTGAATTTGGCCTCAAATTGCCAAAGTCTGATTTCTGGAATTAACTGCCACTTAAAAGTAGGGCAGCTGTTGGGGAACTGTTGAAAGTAGGCAGGCAGTTATCAAAACCACTCGGGAGAGACATCAGACATTGGATTTGTTCTCCCAAAGAGAAACCTCCCCTTTATGAAGTGAAAATTGCTTTATACTTGTTTATCAACAGCAGGTGTTTTATTCTGAGCAGGCTTTTCTTTTTCCTGACAGACATGAATGTATCCGACAAGCCAGTATTTCTGAGGAATTGTTTTACATCTATAAAGACTGAACTGGATCTGGATGCTGGAGCTGGTCCAGGCTACAACAAGCCAAGGCTTCAGCAGGACACGTTTGGCTAAAGCTTATTTTTCACCCTTCACTCCACCAGAAAACATGTTTTATAACCAATTAAAACGTTATATGAAAAAAAATTAATCTGCTCGTTAACACAGTCCGCGTTCCACTGTTCCTTACACCAAACTGGGACAAGAGACATCCAGGAGCCAAGAGGGGCCCAGGACAACCATCATCTGTTCATTCATCTGAGTCCAGGTCGCTGTCTCCTGCGATGGAATGGAAGTCCTCGCTGTCTTCCTCATCCTCAGACAGATGGACCTGACTTAACACACTTGGCCCCGAGCGCTGCTGTTCCTCCTCCTCCTCGTCTTCCGAGATCTCGTACCCTCCGATGCTGCTGAAACTCGTGTCCCTCGTATTGGATTTGGGGTCTGGTTCTTCGTAGCTGCCGTAACTAGAAGAGAGAGGTTTCAAACGAGCTCCTGGTACCAACAATTCTGTATTTAACTCCTGAGAAAGCTCCTTGGCTCGAAGTGCTGTGAGCACTCAGAACCTCTGTGCACTTCAGTTCTTTCTAAAATTAAAAAAACCACACCAGTTCTCCGAGGAAATTCAAGTATTCCCCACCCCACTCTGATACACTCAGGGCAGGAAAAACAGATCACTCCAACACCTTCTCTGTGTCACCTTCACTGCAGACAGAAAGGCAGACAGCCCGTTCTCATCATCCTCTGCAGCATTTCCAGCTGACTACTGTCAAGGTCCTGCTGGACTAACCATTGCCTGCCAGCACAGTTACCTGTACAGTTATTAATTAGGCAAATAGCAGTAACAGCATTAAGGGACTGAATTGCCCAAGTAGAAAGAGAACAGAGAATCAAATAACTGACACTACAGAATGCCCAGAGAAGGAAGAGTAGGCTGGTATCCTCTCAAATGCAAAAAATTAAAGATGATATTGCTGTAATTGTCCAATAATGGAACTCCTTCTAAAATACAGAATATGCATATTCCTATTTTTCTGGACTTCAGCTAAGCAGCTGCGTTTCAAGTCAGGAGATTTTTAGAGAAAAGAAAAAAGAATTTAATCAGCTAAATCATCTTTTAACTTCAAATCCATCTTGTAGTTTCAGATAACTTGTAAAACTCGAAGAGGTTTTAAGAATTGCTTTTAAAAGGTTCTCAGCTCTAATTACCTGATGTTGCTGTCCTCCATAACGTGAGATGTCTCCCCACCGTCTCCTTCGTAAGACATCATGCTCTCCTCGTTGTCCATGCCCATCCTCGTGTTCTCTTGGAGAACATGAGGCTGTTTAGGTCTCACCGCATTGGGCTCCACGTCTGAGTCACTGCCACTCTCACTCAGCTGGATGGCTGTGCAATAAACCAGGATTTGGTCACAAATAAGAGGTTTGTTTAAAGGCTGCAGTGCTGACCGTGGGGAATGTTTACAACGCAGTGTCTCCACAAGGGAGCAGGAAGGGTATCTGGGAGGTGATACCACTTACTGAGTGCCCAATTCTGATGTTATTCCAAAGCAATCCCATTACCATCATTACTCAAATAGTCTTTTGTCTTATCTACTCGGAATAACTCCCCTTTATTCCCCCCTAATAATTGTCAGAAGTCATTGCTAAATACCATCATAAACTTTTCTGCGTGACGAGTCTGTAATAAAACAGAAACAATCTGAAGGCACCTCTGTACACCTCTTCCAGTTCTTGATATCACTCTTTTAACAGTAACATTTGACAACCCTGTTTCATATAAAAATAAATGTTGGGCTTTATTACCAAACTGCCCATTCCTGGCTCTGCACACCAAATCTTACTCCCAGTCTTTTCAGAACCACTTGCAGTTTCACTTTATGAAATACAATCAACAAGATTTTGTCTTAACTGTGCTTTCTTTTGTGTCTGTACTTACAGAGTAAACTCCTATTCTACTTTTTGTTTTCAGTTTTCACTCATGTTCACGCAGTTTTCTCATGTTGCCCCTTTGGTGTCCCTTTTTGGCCACTAATCCACCCCGTTACGTGTCCCAATTATGCTCCACGCTCTCTACTGCACGTTTTTGTGACTGGAAGCACAAGATTAGCTGGGTTAACGAACAACCAGTTCCTATTCAGCCTTTCATAAAAGAAGGACACTCACATGAGAAAGGATTGTCTCCCTCTTCATCACTCCCATCATCATCATCCTCTCCATCAGACATAAGCAAGTCTTCATAGAGGACACTGGCCTGGGGCTGCTGGGCTGATCCTTCTTCCTCGTCAGCAAGGTCACCATCTGCATCTTCCACCTCCTGGGTCACACAGAACAGGGATGGTGAAGATCCAGCAACAGGCTGCCAACTCCTCGCATATGTGTATTATTTACCGCTCTGAAATGTGCCCTCTCTTCACAGTGCCAGCATTTCCACACTGCACTGCAGAGCCTCAACGAGCACCGCTGTGTCTCAGGGTGGCAGACCCAGCAGGCAAGTCAGCACGCAGACCGTGGCTGGGATTTCTGTAAATATACTCACTGGGGCCGGAGTCTTGGGCTTCCCATCGTCATCCTCATCAAATCCTTCGATATCTACGTCAGAGTCTTCCTCTCCCAGCCTTCCTCGCCCCTGGCGCATCTGAAGGGGAGCACAAACAGCCACAGCACTGAGGAGGGACATCAGCCAGGGGTGTGGATGACACCTGGGCCACAGTGATGGAACTACTGACAACCAGTTCCCCTTTGCCTGCACTGTTCAGAATAGCTCTCACCCCCTTTCTGGTACCACCTTCAGTCTCGTGGCTCCTAACCCTCTTCATTCTCCTGGTAATTTATTTTCATGGTCATTTTACTGCTATTCCCTCTCCTCCAACTTTTTTTTTTTTTTGTTTAATACAGAATAAAGCCTAAGAAAAAAATATTCTGTGATTAGTGAATAGAAAAATAACTGCTCTACAGTTGGGATGAACAACACAAAGAAAGCTTTGCTCTGTCTTCCTGTAGCACAATTGCGTTTTATCATCCAGTTATCAGCACAGAGATCTTTCCCTAGGCTTATGAACTTCCACAGTTTTTCCAAATAAGCAAAAGGCACATCTCAGACACTGGGATGACATGCCCTACTTTACTAGGCAAATTCCAAAGGCAATTCTGTTTTTTCAGGAAATAACTTCTCATTCCTGGAGGAAGTTTTTTACTGATGTTTTGTTAAAAACAACCAAACAGCCTGAAATAAGAAGAATTACTTTTTAAAAAAAAAGCCTAAATAGCTTACAAATCTTTGCCAAACTGTAAACACTGAAAAAGCATTAATTGTGCTGCCAACCTGGTCTGCAAGACATACAAAATACCTGACACAATTGTCTGCTATAAATAATGACGACGACGAAAAAATGTTATTTTCCATTAGAACCAGAATAAAGAGATGTAAAGAATCCCAGCAGTGAAGGCAGAGCTGTACTTTGCTGACCATATCAGTCCTTTTCTTCACTCAGCAATAAGCCTTTCCAACAATAACACCACCAGACAGCTCCTTGGTTTCTTCCCAGCGCTAAACTATCCCTGTCTTTTCCTCACGTTCTTACCTTTCCAATGCTCGTCTCCCGAGGGTTTCCAGCCGTTACACTTGCACAGCCTTCCAACCAGCACTCAGCTGCACCTGACCCCAGAGCTCACCTTTAGACCAGTTTTACAGCCTCTGTCCTAGAGAGCTCGCTCTCTGAAGCATCATAACCACTTCTCACACTGGTTCTTAAAAAACAACTGTTTGCACACCATCTAACAAGGCACTTGTACTAAGAGACAGACTGCAGGCAGATGGAGAACGATAAACAAAGAGGAATTTCAGGATCAAACATCCACGAGGTGAAACCAAAGCAACAAAAGTGAAAGCTTTGCTTGGCCACTTGCCTGTGGGGTGTAGGGCCCAGGGGTCATTGGATCAAGACTCTCCAGATCTGCCTCCTCCAGTGCTGCTTCCTTAGCAGTGGAGATGTCTCTCTCCAGCTGAGTCAGGTGCTCGTCGTACTGAGAACAAAAAAAGCTCGCCAAGGTTGCAGAACAGAAAATTCAGACTTCCAAAAAATATCCCAGTAAAGTTGCCC